GCTTTGTCGATACCTGGTTACTTACGTTGGGCAACAGGGTGCGTAGTGAACTATGGCTGGATGTTCGAATACCCTGTGGCGGGGGGGGGTAGCGACTACAACATGATCACATGTGGCACTTAGGAAGCAGCACTCAAGAAGCTCTCCTGATGGCAATGATCATTAGGTTAGTGGTGTTGTAGCCTTATCGAGGCGGGTGTGGGTGGATACTGTATGCTTTACGGGATACTAAACATACGTGGGGCAAAAAAAAAACCCTCCAAAAAAGATGACCAGACTGGGGCTCGATCCCAGGACCTTATCGGTGTTAACGATACGTGATAACCAACTACACCATCCGGCCAACTTGCTGAAAGACTGCTCATATTTGTGCTACAGAAGCCTGTACTTAAGCTCTTTGGCAATATCCAAGGAGGAGTAAATGAAGCAGGGACGACTGCTTGGTTGGGGTGTTTAGCAGAAGTTCCGGCTGTTTACAAATGAATTCTTAGTTTTTATATGTAATGGTCAACTTTTTCAATATGGTAACCCGTACAGCCTACGCTAAACTAAACGATGCTGTTGATCTGGAATTTCTTGTGCCGGTAACTAGTCAACTGCTGGAATATATACTAGACAGGTACAACACGGATCCGAGGGCATGAGTGCTCGATGAGGGCAACACAAATGTACTTAGCTACTATGTCTGGTAAAGGCTACCCATAGGTACAAAAGTTCACCAACAGCTATTAACAACCCCAGAAAAATTTGCACAATTGATAGGCTGGCTATTTTTCTACTCGTAGGGCACCCGACCTACATCAAAACAGGACACCAGTGTTAGATCCCGATACGCGGCACAATCAAGAAGTCGTGGTCACATCTATAGGTGAGAGATTAAGATACTTATCTTCTTACAATCGACCTTTATGGGCTCCAAGCTTGACTGTACTTGTCCATAGGTGCATTGAATTCGAGCATAGACGTGGGTTGGGCTAAATAGCTTGCGCGGAGCCGATATTGCGGAGGACACCTTCAGGGGCAATTGAATAGCCGCTGATAAAGTCAAAATCATGAAGCGCTTTCAACAAGTTGGCCGGATGGTGTAGTTGGTTATCACGTATCGTTAACACCGATAAGGTCCTGGGATCGAGCCCCAGTCTGGTCATCTTTTTTGGAGGGTTTTTTTTTGCCCCACTTATACTACACCTCCGGCCCACCTTTACATCTTCTAAATCCTGTGGATTATTCTCATCTATGCGAGTACATTTTTGGCGATAGTACTCGAAGGATACGCGGAGATCGCGAAAGATAAATCTTGTTATATTGTAAACACAACAGTGAATTACTGACTCAGACAAGATACTTTGACGTTGCGAAACATGAGAAACCAAATGGGGCCGAAACAAGACCCAAGTTCCCTGTTATAAGCTCACAAAGCATGCTGATACTGCGCCCCCCAAACGTTCTCGCTATCTGCTGGAAAGAACCCTTTCAAAACATTTTGCAGATGCGTTAGCTCCAGTGGATAGAGCTCACCCAAAAAATGTTTGCCCCAATTTATCTTCTCTTTCTTATCCCCCTCATTATCACCGCCCTCTTGGCTGACCCCGCTTTGGCCACAATGTTCAATCCTACTAGTGATAGCCAGGCACCATTCTTGCTCTAGGTACATCTTGAATGCACGGATATCCACGAGATCCTCGGGCCTGGACATGGCTTCCAGGGCTTCCCTTAGGAGTAGCTGATCGCTGGTATTTATCCAGCCAATCCCCAAGACCTTAGGGTCCGAAACACGAGCAATGATTCCCAAAGCATACATAACGCTTTGCACGATGCCGGACCGGTTATCGCGTTGGATGTCAGACTCTCTAAGACCTCCGGTGTCATCGGTCAATGAAGGATAGAAAAAACCATCTTCTTGCTCAACCAGGTAGTTGAACACGAGAATCCGAACGATCCGATTTACTGTCTCATTGGATGTGAATGTCACTTCATTGAACTCGACTAGCTCCTGAAAGGCTTCTTCTGACGCTTCCATTTTGATGCGTGACTTGTTGGTAGATGAGGATGTGAGATGATCCAAGTATAGGGTAGAGGTAGATGTGCAGAATGGAGGCAGGAGCCAACTCAAGGAATGGGTCCATTGAGGGTTTTTATAATGTGGTGCTAGGGAGGGGAAGTCTGGGTTGAAGTGAGCAAAAACATATGGTATAGGCAGATCGCGGGGATGTGAAGGAAGTTGTCGCTATGAAGTGGCTTGCACCTAAAGTAGGATATCGATTCATTTTGGAGGAACCCGCAAGTAGCCACGCAACAAAGAACGAAAACAATGGACTGAAAATGATTCAAACACAACCACTTTCCGACGATGAGTCTTTTGAGCAAGATGACTGGTTAAGATCTTAACAATGGAAAACCACTGATGTAATAACATACAGTGGAATGCCGACTCTGTGCCATATATTCACGTCATCTGTCTCACCTGCCGATCTCTATAATCCAGCAAAAACAGTGACAATGCCTGTAAGAGTTGAGTATAGCATAAACTTGAGTCTGTCAGACATACTGAGTAGGATAATACCCAAAGGTTTTATGACTCGTATTGCCCCGTAGGTTAATCGCGATAATTTATTTCATCCTAGATCAAGGTGGAATTCCCAGATTTGGTACTGCGAGCGAGCTCCAAAGAAGCTTCCAAGGTGCCAAAAGTATCTTAGAAAAGGGTGTCAGGTATTAGATACCTTGGAATGGTAGACCATCTTATAAAGTTGATCCCTGGAAGTGCAAAGCGTGTCGCTGCATGTAATCACATTATTATCATGCTTCTGGGAGCCCTTTTACATGGGCTAGACAGCTGAAGATTGGAGTAAGGATATCTGAATACACCAAAAAGGTGCAGCTATGTTGTAGCGGAAGAAGATAGCACAAGAGCAGAGAACAAAGTGCGCCGCGAATCTTGCTTAGACCGAAGAATGAAGAAGGAGGACAGAAGAGGGTGTAAGTTGGGTCTGCAAGATATGAACTAGCGTGGTTCTTCACATGACCTTGGAGTGAAGAGAGCCGTGGGATGGAATTTATCACTACATCTATTTAGGAATGACCCGGAAGTTCCAACAACCCCGCTGAATGTATCGCAGCATTGAAGATGGCAACTGCCAACCAACATTGCCTGGGTTTCCGAGGGAAACAAAGGATCTCGATAAAGAATCCCAACTTTCGAATACCAGCACGCCACATTCGCAAATAAGTGTGATAACGACCCCATAGTACGGAGTATCCCATTCACGACAACCGCCACGTACGACCATGCAGGCGAGATAGAACTATTGACTACCTAATGCACAAGCCAAATCCCTCATCCCGCTCGGCGGTAAATCCACAGGCCATGTGGAATCGAGGAAGGACCCGAGTGCTCCGATGCAAGGCCATCAATTTTCGTCACGTCCGTCGGCTAAGAGTCCCACACGGTGGTAGACATGCTCGTGAATCCTCCCATGACAGCAAGCACACATGGCACAATCCCGTCCAATCCAGCCCAGAGCCATATCACACTTATCGACAGCCTTAGGCGGGGTAATGGAACTATGACCACGCCATTCTGGAAGCCCGCCTCTCACAAATGGGAGGTTAGCGCTGTGCAGCTGCAGGAAATCAATAGTTCCTGCAAAGTCTTATCAGGTGGGGGCCAGCTGAGCGTGCACTGCACCATTCGGCATTTTATGGCGCGTCGGAGCGGGGTGTCCTGGTAATCGCATGGAGTGTTGGCTGACCAGTTTGGATCAAATTGTCGTGTCCAAAGGAGGGCGACTTCTGCAGCCGGTGTTGGTGCAAGGGCACTCTTGGTATACTTCTGTTGGAAGAGGTGGTACTGCCGTTGGACCGGTAAGGCTATCACTGTCACAACCGTTGGTGAAAGTCCAGTTCAGCCTTGGGGTGGTATTGATGGGGTCCAAAGAGAAAGAAGTGATCCGGACTCTGGCTACTAGTGATATTAATCGACGCTAAAATCAATCCGTCCACCAGTCAGATTCCAGTGTTTGGCGTGTTCTGTGCTCAACCTGCATAAGGGCCATGCACGAGCCCATCACACGGCACGCCCGGCGCTTAAGGTTATTTATATCGCCCGACCCATTGGGTGCCGCTCCCCCGGATCCAGGTTGGATGGCAATGACTGGCCCTCGTGCTTCACGGAGCCGGGGATTTACTATCCTTAGAATTCCCAAAATAGTCCAGAGAGGGGTTGCTGCAGCATTACTCTGTGGAGCGTTGGTGAGGGATTTGGCGTCTCTATCGCCGGGCTTCCCTTCCCCTCCTTTAGTGTCCAACTGGGGACTGATGAAGATTTATTGCTCACGATCTCCCCAGTACAACAAAGCTCTTTTTCGTTTTCTCTCACGCACAACTTCCAGTAATTGGAGTTGAAGTGCTTTTGACTCTTAATTTTTTTTCTTATTCTGGTCATCACTATTGCAGTGATCGTCTTATACATACCAACATGGGTGTCATGCGTTTACCTCGCCCAACCGGCGTGTATGTGCCGAACTCACCCACACGGAGCCTCAAGGGCGATATGATCTCCTCCCCATTATCACCTGAATTCAACTTTGACTCCGAGACCTTGACTCCTTCCATTATTCCTGCCCTTGAATACGTTTCTTCCAAGCTGGAGCAGAGGATGATGCACGTTACTCTGCTTGTCGGTCGCGGAAAGCCCTACCCCACCGGCCAACCATCCGATCTCATCGTCATCCCCATTACTCCTCTGGATGAGGCAGCATGGCGGATCGTGTTCCGCACGGTAGCCAAGGGAGCCAGCAAGTTCTCTTTAGGCCACAGCTGGACTGATGCCTTGAACCGGAGCCAGCACGAGCGCCAGGCCCACGACTACCTGATCCAACAATCGATCATGCAGAATGAAGTGATCTTCAGCAGAGAGGGTCTGACACTGCTGAACGTGGACCGCATCTATACCCTGAAGCGCCGGCTGTGCATCCTTTCCCATCGGGGAACACCGCCCGAAGAATCTTACATCTCATCCTGCGCGCAGCTCCTCCACCGTACCATCAATGACTTCCATGGTCGACCCTTCAGCAGGGCCTTCTTCCACCGTGTCTACGAGCAGCTGGATGTGCCTGATATGCTGTTATCTCAGGTGGCGGATGCCTTCAGAAAGCAATACAAGCAGGAAGGAATTATTATCCCACCTCCTGCGAAGGCCGATGTTGCACCTCCTGCCAAGACCAATGTGCCACCCCGGGTGAAGGTGGAGCGTCCCCGGAAGTCACCACTACGTGCGACCCGGGCAGCTCGTCGCCAAAACCCTCCGCCAACAAGATACAACTTGCCAACCAAGCGCGGGCCCAAGACACCATTGTCTGCATCTGATGTGACTCCTATCACTCGAAATGAATGGAACATGCTCCGTACGGACTTTCCTTTGGGCAAGTCCACTGTTACCAAGTGGACACCATCACCAACTGTTATGGCTGCTGCGTGAACAGCATCATTGATTGCTTGACACTATGTCGAGCAAATGCTATACCACCAACACCCCCAGCACCATCATGGCCATGGTCATGATCAGAGGGGCCCTCCAAACCCGAGCCATCTGCGCATCGGAGCAGTCTGAAATAGTATCCCGAGTCTAAAGGGTAAGAATACCTGCACGTTTAGTATATTAATTTCCGAACCTAAGCTAATCTCCCGTGCAGGACCGTTCTCGGACTGGCAGGAACACTCCACCGTTGAGCGGAATTCCGCCGACAGCCATGGCTGGCTGAGTGGAGCTATCCGAGCGATGTCGGCAAACCGGCCAACTAGGCGCAGGGACCACCGCAAGGCGGGTGGATCCTAGAGAGAAGAAACCACCCGCGAGCACGAAAATATTCGGAAGGTTGAATGCTCACCCGCAAACGGATCTATCGTCCCGACCGATCCTTTCGAAATGAATGATCAGGTGAATCGGACTTGAGATGAGAAGTTGGGCTCACAGGGAATGAGACGTGTACAATAGACCTGCATGAAATGAAAGTACTATCTTCGCATGATTGAGTTTCCAGTACGTAAAGTGAGGGGAAGTTGCAGTGTTGCACTGGGGGAGTAGACTAGAAGATGAAGTCGGAGATGCAGCAGCTGCTGGTCGGCGTCCTCCGCCTTCAGATGCGGGCACGTCACGTGGCAGTTGTCTCCAGAGCCGAGCAGACCAGAAGATTCAGGCTTGCATCCATCATTGTGGGCACAATCTCACAGAGATCCTCGATATATTGTTATCTGTGGTTTGTTTGTTTCTTTTCATCGTTTCTATAATAGACATAGAAGAGTGTATTGCGTACAGCCTTCTCCAAAGTAAGACACCCCGGGCGTCCCCGGTACTACACCACCCGAGCAAGGAACTAACTGCTAGTGAACAACTCCAACAGGACCCTGTGGGACTGCAAGGAGCTCCACTGCAAGAACTCGCCAAATGGGCTTTGCATAAGTAATCCTTCTCCTCTGGTCCTCAGTTCGTCAAGCCGGATCCACTGCTTGGTTGGCATTGATAATTCGACCGTCTAAATTCTCTTATACTTTATCGCATGTGAGCCTTATCAGGTTTTCTTTTCCCCTCCCGCACCCCCAAAAGCCTTGACATTCCCCACGGCACGCTCCAACCCACGGACAACAAATCTTATCCAGATAAATCATCCTATTCAGCCACTCGATTCCATTTCAACTGCGGACTGCTGGAAGGGGTATCTCTCAGGAATAAACATATTAAAGCACTTGTCGCGGGAGTCCCTGTGGCTGTTATCTATCAACCATGCGGGACTCGACCCCTCCCAGTCCTAACCCAAGCCATGTCTCGGAGGGAAATGGCCAAACCGATGTTGCAGGTAGCAAATGGAATATCAAGAAGTTCGTCAGGCAGGCTGAGCGATCGCATCGTCGGTTGCCGGGACTGAAGAAGGTTCCTTTGCCTGCCATCGCCATTATTCTGTTTATTGCGTTCATTAACGTTGTGGTGTGGATTGCCGCCGCAATTGTGTTGGTATGTGTATCCCCTTCTTGCCCTCTCGACTGAAATCATATCTAAGCCACAAGCTAACATTTTTCTAGCGCTATTACCCGTATGTCACCTGAAAGCTGTACTCACAGAGCTAGCATCATCTTACTAAGTCACTCCAGGTCCCTGGTGTCTAATGCCGTACTATCTTATACTCTCGGATTGAGACACGCATTCGATGCGGATCATATCTCGGTAATTACCCCATATCCACTCCAGGGAATAATTATTAACAAGTACCGTGTAGGCAATCGATTTGATGACTAGAAGATTACTGGCGACGGGCCAAAAGCCCGTCACTGTAGGCACCTTCTTCTCTCTCGGCCATTCCACGTGAGTTCCTCCCTTTTCAAGACACGCTTCTTCAAGCTAACAAACATCAGCATTGTTATCATCACGTCCATCGTAGTCGCAGCCACTGCTGCGGCTATCTCATCAAGATTCGACAGTTTCAGCACCATTGGCGGTATCATCGGCACTTCAGTTAGTGCCGCTTTCCTGATCCTACTGGGTCTTATGAATGCCTACATCTTGTTCAAATTATACAAGCAAATGCAAAAGGTCTTGGATCTACCCGAAGGCCAAGAAGATGAAGTGTGGAAGATCGAGGGTGGTGGTGTGCTATTCTCCGTGCTCAAGCGCATGTTCAAGCTTATTGACAGGTAAAGACTCCACTCCACCTATTGCCAAGTAAGAGTACTAACCTCGCTCAGACCTTGGAAAATGTATCCGCTTGGAATCTTGTTCGGCCTTGGCTTTGACACATCATCTGAAATCGCCCTTCTTGGCATCTCGTCTGTCGAAGCTGCCAAGGGCACTAACTTTTGGGTTATCCTGATCTTCCCGGTCCTATTCACAGGTAAGTTTCTAATATCCTCTTTCTAACACATCAACTTTTCTAACAACATACCAGCGGGAATGTGTCTCCTCGACACCACCGACGGAGCCCTAATGCTCTCCCTCTACGTCCAACCCTCCGCCAACTTCCTCCCCCCAAAGAGCGACACCTCTTCCGACGCGCCCCTCATGGGCGAAGACACCGAGGTCGAACCATCCAAGAACCACCGCGACCCAGTAGCATTCCTGTACTACTCCATCGTCCTAACCTGCCTAACAGTGATGGTCGCCATCGTCATCGGCGTGATCCAACTCCTCACTCTCGTCCTGAACGTCGCTAACCCCACCGGTAAATTCTGGGACGGAGTCCAAGTAGCAGGAGACTACTACGACGCCATTGGCGGCGGTATCTGTGGACTCTTCATCATCATCGGCGGCCTCAGTGTGGTTGTTTACAAGCCCTGGAGGAGATGGATTGCCCGGAGACATGGAAAGACCTTTGTTACTGATGTCGAGGGGTACCGGGATGAAGAACCGTCTACGACTAATGCCCCTGATACGCCGATTCTGGATGAGGGGAGAGATGGGGCTGCTGCTGTTAATTATGGGGCTACGGGGAAGGGGGATGCGGCTGTTACGGTGGAGCCGGTTGGTGGGGGGCCTGCGCGGTAATGAGGGGGGTGTTGAAGGGAAGAAAGGGGTGTGTTGTTGGTGCTTGGGGAAGGTTGAGGGGGTAATGAGATATGAGTATGCGATTGACATGCATTTTACGATTATATACCGGTGGATTTATATGCTCTATGGGTTGATAGAGTTAAAAAGTTATGCGTTTCTGATAGCATTTAATACATATTTGGAAAATGGAAATACTAGTCAAATGAATGTCCTCGGTCAGGGATGACTGCTAAGCAACTAAACCAAGTCTCTTCTGTGATTAACTTCTAAGATAGCCTTATAATCATGTGACCCTTCGTGTATAACCCGGACAACCAGTACACAACCATTCAAAACCAAGCTTAGCCTCTTGCAACTCATCTCGTCGACAAGCTATTCATCCTCCACGGACTAACTAGCAGCACTCAAGGACCAATAATCAAGCTCTGAGCATGGAGAACAGAGCTCCGATAGCCACAACCCAGAAACATACACCACCACAGCTACCAAAACCCATCCTCGCCAGCCATAACCGGAAGCACTCGCATGCGCATTCGCATTCGACTCAGGGACCGAACCAGCCACGCCATGAAACCTAAACCTCTATCGGCTGGAACGGTACCACGACGCCTCTGGGTCACCGAGGCAGTCACCAACAGTGGTCACTACCAAATATTAGCGGTCCTTATTCATCCCAAGTTCTTTTTTATGTATGAAGAGAAAATGGGAAAATACCTGTCAAACCCCTCGACTTCGTCTCATCGAGCATCATCTTCGCCAAGGTAACCACCGTCTGTTCCTTAGTATCATGGGCCAAACAAAGATTACCACCATTGTTGAGCTCAGTGACGAACTTGTCATAACTCTGATTGATCAGGTCAGGGCTGTTGTGGTTATAGTCCTTGGTGTCAATACTGGCTGTGATAACATGGTAGCCGAGATCCTTCATAACCTGGAGGGTCAAGTCATTGACGTCGAAGTAAGGGGGACGCATGTAGGTTGGAATATTGCCCATGGAGCTTTGAAGCACGGACTCAAGACTGGTCATTTCTTGGACGATTTGGTCGTAGCTTAGTGTGGGGAGGCTGGTGTGGTCGTAGCTGTATGATGTAGTTTTTAGCTTGTGTGTGTGGGGGGAGTGTAGTTGGGGCTGCATACGTATGGGAGCCAACTTGATGTCCCTCCTGTCTTATGCGCTGGATAATCTGGGGGTTTGCCTGACTGGCTTCGCCGAGGACGAAAAAGGTAGCTCGGACTTTGTATTCGCTGAGAAGGTCGAGCAGTTGGGGGGTGTATGATGATGGGCCATCATCGAAGGTCAACGCAATGGTGTTGGGGGTGGTGCATGTGGTAATGACCTGCCCGAATGGGATGTCCCTGCTGGTGATAGGGGCACATAATGCGCTGGGGCTGATTGCTGCCAGAGCGATCAATGCGAGGGACTTGAACATGATGAAGACTATGTCGGTGATGGAAGGCAACCTATAATGTAGCTATAGTGCTATTAAGTGCCAGATGTGCTCAGTAAGAGGGGCTGGGTTGGTTTATCGTCAATGGTACCCGGCCTACAAAGCAGACAAGGACTTGGATAATACCCTCTGAGTCTCGCCTGCGACTCGGGTATATATCGTTCATGATGGAGGGCCTGAGCACTCTACTAAAGTGCTATTCCGTTTCTGTTGTTTTGATGACGGCCCGCTCCTTCATAGGCCATATTGGAATGGGTGTATAGCCAGATGCTCAACCCCGTCCCAAGGCGCAAGAAGCCCGAATACACAGAATTTGTTTGTCTAGTCATAGGGCTTCAATGACAAACTTTAAAATGGACCCAGGGGTGCGAAAGTCAAGCGAGGGGCTGGGTTCTCACGACAGATTGTTGCACTGTCAATCGAAGGGTTATTTGTCGTGACCCCTGACTAGAAGTAAATGAGGCTGAGCAGCTGGGAGTCCAATTCTAAAGATGACTAGGCACGACATGGTATGTTACACAGATAGTATACTCACTGGGTGTCTACAGGCTCTTGTAGAGTTGATCTATTGAGATTGTCAGATATTCTCGCATCCATGTTACATGCCAATGCTTTGCTATCTTCACTTCACATACCATAGCGAACATTTGTCTAGCAATCAATGATAGGAACTAGGAGAAGTCATTTATCAACTAAAGTCAGTTTTCCATGATAAAAGCATACCCCTGTAGCACGCACTTCTGAGGTCTGTGCCTGGTTCAATTTCAAAACACAGTTGAGTCCCGCCATCCTCGTCTGTTGATAGCACCTCGCAGATACCCTAGTATTCATGATCCGAACATGGAGAAAACGTCCGAGGTCATGAGATCGTATTTGAAAAGATATGCCGATTTGTAAATTCTTTTGACATACAGACATACTAATGACACGAACGAAATGACTCAGGCTATCTGTGGCCCCTTAGAAACCGTGTGTGACAATTGTGCTGCTTTCCTTGGCATAAATCCGTGCAATAAGCTTATGCACAAGACTGGTTACGCGTATGTGTCTAATAATGCATATGATGAGACCCAGGGCAGAGAGTTGAAGTTAATCCATATGACCGTGATCAGAAGTTGGGGTGAGTGTGCATAGTGACTTCCCTATCGGGTAACCTTAGATGGGGGGTGCGGTGTAATGCCTCAGGCATCAATAGAAATACGAAGGTGACTGACGTCAGCCATCACGACGCAAGATTCGCATTCCATTCTTCCTTTTGCTTTAGACAACGCGCACCAACCACGGCAAGAATGATGATCTATCCTAATTGATAAGATCCTGGTACTCTCGTGTTTGATTTTCACGACGACCGATCGGAGTGCCTACTTGACTCGAAAGCCGTCGTCCTATGCCACTATCCAGCAACTAACTATCCAGCCGGGTCTTCGGCCACGAGACACATCTAGCACTGTCGCAAGCTAGACGCCCTGATGATTTTACTTAAAATCACTATCTTATCTCTAGGGATCTATATATACGATATAATCTGGAAGTGACCTATACAGAAGCCTTACGTTGGGGCTTCTTACACTTCATTTACATATGAATCTCGTTGAACCCAATCACAATGAATATATAGCTTGGCCATGTCCGAAACTACAGCAAGCTCCCCTACGCAGGATGATGATGCAGGGGAATCTGGTCCCAGCTTTCTAAACTGCCCGCCTATCTTTGTGCTCCCCACCCATCTCAGTCTGGAATCGCTTCACAGCATAGAAGAGGAGCTGGTTAAGCGAGAAGCACCTCTGACCTACGACATATCCGAAGCCAGACTGGTACTCGGGAGAATCGGACAAGGAAAGCGAGCAGCTTTAGAACTACGATCTCGTGGAATATGGACCGAACCTATCAGTAAATCTGAGCCCCCAAAGAAGCGGCGTCGTGTCAATGCAGCCGAGTCGAAAATGGCTGCAGACCAGGCCGACATTATCGACCTCAGCACGGAGACAGAAGACGAAGAAGATGGGATGAAAAGTCGGCATGACCCCTCGCGGCATCTCCATCGGACACAGACTGACTCCCCCGCCGCGGAGTCAACCGTTTCAAATCCGTCTGACGCGTCTTCCGTGTCATCCTCCGTTGCACAAGCAGACACCATCAGCGTCGTCAAACTAGACTGGCTGGACCAATGTCTCAAGGCGCAAGAGCTCCTTTCTACCGATCCATATACGATTTACATCGCCCGACGGGCTCCACGCCCCGTAGAGCCCTCAAAGCCAGCCTCCCTAGGGAGCGATATCCTCCAACGAGCTAGGCAAGATGCCGCATTACGACCGCCACCAAAGCCACCGACCGTATACCACCATGCGCGTACTCACGATTCTACTCACAACCCGCCCAAACTATACCGAACCACCACCTCGGAGAACGAAGAAACCGAATCCCTTCCCCCAGCCCCAGACTGGGTGAAGGAGCACGTTCTCTACGCCTGCCTGCGCTCCACCCCCCCCCACCCTCCAAACGAAGGCTTCATCAACCAGCTTATCAAAATCAGACAAATCCGCGAATTAACACTCGACGAAATCGGGGTCCGCGCCTACAGCACGTCCATCGCAGCGATAGCAGCCTACCCGCACGAATTCCGCCGCCCCTCTGAGATCCTCACCCTCCCAGGCTGCGACACCAAAATCGCCAACCTCTTCTACGAATACCAACAAAGCCCAACGGGCACCCTCTCAGCCGCTACCCTCCTAGACACCGACCCAACCCTCCAGATCCTCAACAACTTCTACAATATTTGGGGCGTCGGCGCCAAAACCGCGCGCGAATTCTACTACTACCGCCACTGGACAGACCTAGACGACATCATCGAACACGGCTGGAACAGCCTCACGCGCGTCCAACAAATCGGCCTAAAATACTATGACGAGTTTCTAACCGGCATCCCCCGCCCCGAAGTCGAACAAATTGCCACAACAGTAACCCAACACGCCAACCTCGTCCGTCCAACCTCCTTCGACAACGAAGAGAAAGGCATCCAATGTATAATCGTAGGCGGCTACCGTCGCGGAAAACCCCTCTGCGGCGACGTCGACCTCATCCTCACCCACCCAGACGAATCCCTAACCAAGAACCTGGTCGTCGACGTAGTCGCCAGCCTGGAATCCTCTGGCTGGATTACCCACACCCTAGCCCTGCACTTAATGACCTCTAACCGCGACCAACAAACCCTCCCCTACCGTGCAAGCAACGCCGACAGCACGGGCAAGAACTTCGACACATTAGATAAAGCCCTCGTCGTATGGCAGGACCCCCACTTCGACGACAATACGAACCAACCGGAAACAAAAACCCCTCAAGAAGAAGAACACTACGCAAAGAGTAAACGAAACCCAAACCCCCACCGCAGAGTAGACATTATCATCTCCCCCTGGCGAACAGTCGGGTGTGCCGTTCTCGGCTGGTCAGGCGATAAGACCTTCGAAAGAGATCTACGGCGGTATGTGAAGAAGGCGCATGGGTGGAAGTTTGATTCGAGTGGGGTTAGGGAGAGGACGTCGGGCGGACAGGTTATTGATCTTGAGGCTGATGGGGAGACGTGGGAGGAGAGGGAGAGGTTGGTTATGGAGGGGTTGGGGGTGGGTTGGAGGAGGCCCGAGGAGAGGTGTACCAGGTAATTTAACTATCTCTTTTTGCTTTTGGGAGTGGATATTATATATATTGGTTTATATTCTGGATTACTACACGTGAATTGTTTGGTAAATTGATGTGGAGTGGCTAGAGAAGTTGTGTATCATTAAGTTGAGATTTGATTCGTGAGGTCGTTCAGCTAGAAAGGTAAGCAGTATGTAGCTGGATACCTGACCGGATGACTATATCTGCATACTAGTAGAACGCTGGGAGGTAAGAAGGATAGAAAAAGCCACGTATATAACCGCCAGAATTGATTCAGGTTGTCTCATTGATGTAGTTGGTTAGGTAGGTAGGTAGGTAGGTAATATAAAGGAAGAGAAGAGGAAAAGGACACAAGAAAACGGACCAAACCACATCCATCCATTCCAAGAGGAAAAAGGGAGACTTCATTTCATCGCCAGAAAATGCAACTAATACAAGGATGGAGACTCATGCAATGAGACGAGACGGGAACACTTCAAAGAATTACAGAGAAGCGAAAGATAATTGAAGAGAAGAGAAAAGAAAAGGAAAAAAGAAAATACAAAAGACACACACAGACACACACATAATAAAGAAACATAGAAGCTTCCATCGATCAATCAATCAATCAGGTAAAGTCAATCAAGTCATTCATTACACCAGAGCCCTGGAGCTAGTCATTTCACCATAGCGTCCTCTGCCCCGGGTAGTATCGTAAGCATTCACCACTCTCATCTGTCCACCTTCGTCGGCCTGACTGAATGCGTAGCCGCGCTGTTTCCGCATACGTTGGACTTGACGGACTTTGCGGATCGCCTTCTGGAATTGTTCCATGCGGGGGCGGTAGTCCTGGACGTTGTATTTCTGGATTTCTTGCACGTGGTGGTAGTGTTGCGGGTAGTACATGCGTTTGGCGTATTTCCAGGCGTAGTCGCGGAGTAGGCAGATGCAGGGGAGGATGACGGCCATTAGGTAGAAGACGGGGTCTTTGAAGAGACGGGGAATCGTGCCGTAGTATTCTTGGGAGAAGCCGATGGCTGGGGCTGCGTAACCGTAGGCCGGGAGGAAGATGAGCCAGAGCAACATCGAGCCTGGGATGGCGATGAACGTGTATTTGGTCCAGATGTTGGTAATCAAGGCCGCCTTGCCTAGCACTGTTGCTAGTGCTGCGGTGTAGGTTGCTTCGGCCCACACCCAGTGGCCGGAAGTTTTACCATCTCCTGTGGGTCCGTCCCAGAGGAAGAATAATTCCGAGACGACGTACAGCAGGAGGGAGTGGTAGAAGCCGTTTAGAACCCATGACCAGAAACTGTGTCGCCTGAAGAACATACCCTTCTGTCCGAGTTGGTACAGTTGAGGATAGCGGTCCAGCAGTCGAGCGGAAATGTACTGGTCACAGATACCCATTGCGAATGGAGGGAGAACGGTGAAGAACACGTTGTAGAAAGAAAGTGTCCAAGATTCGTAGATAACCTCACCAGAGAAGGCATTTTGGAAGGAATACTAGAGGTTGTCAGTAGCAGTACAAGATGGCGAGCAGCTTCGCCCAAGCTAAGGTAAACTCACCCAGAATTGCGTCATATAAAGAGCAATGTTCTTGTAGAACGAGTACAGAATGACACGACTTATCCGGTGGTAGTTCCAAGCACCATGGACAAGCAGAAGCTTGCGAAGATACCGGAACTGTGCAATAGCAACATCCGCAGACCGAGCAGCTTGTAGACCTTCGACACCACTGATACCAACACCAACGTGTGCGGCTTGAATCATGGACACGTCGTTTGCGCCATCTCCAATAGCGAGAAGTAGAGACTTAAGATGGCGTTTAACAAGCTTGACGACAAGGGCCTTTTGAAGGGGAGAAACACGGCTATAAAACATTAGCTCAGTCCCGCCTACGGAAGCGAGGTTAACTTACCAGCAGACCACAGCTTTACACATGACAGCCAGGTCCAGGAACAGCTTCTCCATATCCTTTTCAAGGGCAAACGTCAATGATCGACCATCAATGATCAGAGCTAGCGCTTCGATTTCACCAGAGGTCCCCTGACTTTGAACAGCCTGGAGCTTCTTGGTCAAATTATCTCGAGTTGCCTCCGCACTCTCCTCATTGATAATCAACAATGTCATGTCCTCGGAAATAAGCTTGCACGACATTCCAATGTTGATGGCGGTTTCTTGTCTGTCACCAGTCAAGACCCAGATCTTGATTCCTGCCGTCTGGAGGGTATGGATAGTGTCCGGAACTCCATCCTGCAGACGATCTTCAATTGCTGTGGCACCCAGGAGATAGAAATCCTTCTCAATCAGCTCCGAAGCCTTATCCAGCTCGTCGGCACGGTTTCCACCAACTGTTGTCGCAGCCTTGTCGTAGATCTGGTACCACTGCTGGAATTCGTCTTCGGGAACTTCACGCATAGCCAAGCAAAGTGTCCGAAGACCATCCGATGCATAGTCCTCCAGATGCTGCAACGTCGCTTCAACCATTGGGTTGTCGGGGTGCAGGCGTTCAAGGATGACAGTATCCGCACCCTTAGTATAGATGCGGATTTTTCCATCAGGGCAGCGAAAGATTGTCGACATGCGCTTTCTCGTAGAGTTGAATTCGCAGACCGCCAAAAGTTCATATTCGTAATCCTGGTTGTCAAAAGTGAAAATCACTGACCGGGGCTTACGATTGGAGAAGGCATAGCCCAGGGTTGCAGCACCTTCGACAAGTGCACCTTCGTCAGGAGACGCGGCTTGATATTTGATCTTCCCTGGCTCTTTCTCAGATCTCTCCGGAATGACCGTGTGACAAGTAGCGAGCAGAGTGAGGAAATGATGTATAGCATCTTTCGAAGGGTGAGAGCGCAGGTTCTCCCTCAACTTCTTGAAGCTATGGACTCCGACCTCCATTCCGTCCTCGACGGTGGCTTGCCGGTCCTCGGGAATGTCGTCACCGTACTGGATGCCCGAGATCGTGCATTGCTTGAACTCCATCATGTTGCAAGTAAGTGTACCAGTTTTATCGGAGAAGATGTACTCTATCTGGCCCAACTCTTCAACCAACGAGGATGTCCTGCACGTTGCCGGTGTATCTGTCTTATCGTAGTAGATATCAAGATCGGAGTTGATCAAGAAGGCTTGAGCATACTTGACGATTTCAATTGTCACGAAAAGCGAGATAGGGACAAGGTTCGAATAGAGAACCCAATAGGTAAAGATATCAAGAACGAATTGTTTGACCGGATTGGTAGAGCCGTAGTCCAAATACGTGAGCTTACTAGCCTCAGTTTGGCGAACAATCAGGTCACCAACGGAACTGATGACACTCAGTGAAACTAGAATGCCAACCAACATGAGAATTTGAACATTCACCATGCGTTCCACCGCAGTGCGCTTGATCGGAGTTGCTGTTGCGTTCCGCATCAGCTTCGATTCGTGACCCGTGAAAACGACAATGCCATGGACCCACGGAGTGTTCCTGAGGGTGGCGCCTCGAAGGAGAAGCTGGTCCGGCGCCAATGGCAATTCCTTTTCACCTCCACCGGCGTGCATTGTCAAAGTTGCTTCGTAGGTGTACAGACTGCTGTTTGGCTGCTCGGACCGAACCCGTCCACTTAAGCGACTGAGATCCGCGGGGCTGACCAAATGCGCGGTTTCCGGAATTGCCTGCTTAATCTTCAAGTTCGTTTCCCCGTCCAGGTTCGCGGTCTCGATATAACACAAGCCCTCGGGTTCCGAGGACGCCAGTAGAACCAAATCAGCCGGGAATGGTTGTTCGGACTCAACCCGGACAATATCTCCCACAGCCACATCGATCCACTTGGTCTCATGGAACTGAGACCCCTTCAGAACCTGCGTTTTCGAATTGTTCAATCCTTTGTCAGACATCCTGCGCTTGTAGTCCTCAACTAATTCCTTGATGGCCGATACGGCTAACACAATACACAGCGGGGCAATCGTAGTATATCTGTTCGTCGGAGACACGTTCGGAATCTGCTGGAGAACGGCGGTGAAGAGGAAGAAAAGGTTGGCGTATTTCGAGAATTGTTCGTAGAGGAACTTCGGGATAAAGGTAATGACATTGTACTTGGCCGTTGAAACGTGGTTGTCGACGTATTTGTGCGTAGCATTGGCAGGCGGATTGTTCAGAACGATCATGCGAGGACCCAGCGTAGACGGGTCGACCTTTCTGCGGCCAAATCCAAACTTGAAATCCGACTTCTTCTTTGCTTTGGGAGCCCTGGCCGCGCCGCCTTCGTCCGGATCTGCACTGTCCACCCGCGCAGCTCTGGCTCCAGATTCCGTCAGGGGCAGATCCATCTCCGAGTACTCAGCACCCATGCCCAGCATGTGCTTCGCTCTGCCCATCAACCCGCCTCCCAGACCCAGTATGCTGTTCCTTTCCTTTGCTTGCCGAACGCGGCTATCGGGTTGTAAATGGTTATCATCTTGGTAGTCGAGATCGTAGTATCCGTGCATCGACCGGTCATCGTCGAACTCGTCGAGGGAGTAGCGGTGGTAGTTGCTTAACCCGGAGGTTTGCGAGTAGGTGCGGGACATGTCGGCACCGGAGTAAGGATCGGTCATGTATACCCCCGCTTGGGTCGGGGGATGCGCGGGCATTGCATGAGCACCGGACTGCGGCGGCACCTGTCCGCCGACGAAGTGATCGTAGGAAACTGAGGGACGCGGGTGAGGAGTTTCGGAGTCGTCAATGTCGTATTGTCGCAACAAGTGGTCATCGTTGACCGGTGGGCGTTGTCCCGAATTGTACATGGGAGCCGACTCATCCAGCAGCAGTTCATCATTGTGGCCAGCGGCTGGATGAGGGCCGGGGGGCCTACCGCTGGCCATGACGCTGAAGGCGGACAAACAGATGCCCCTGGAGCATTGATTGGCCGGGACGAGACAGGAGAGAGGATCACCGAAGACTGTGGACTTGTAACGCGGTCGGAGCACGAGGAGGTATCAAGCGGAATACTCGAGAGTCGATAGTAAGCGACGAGGAAGGTGCGAAAGTTGGGGATGGGGGGTGGTGAGGAGAAATTCTGACTGCCTGGAGGTTAAGCCAGATGCCGCGCAAAGGCGTCGAGGCTAATCAGAGTTAGCGTTGGATCACCGCCAGTGGCTGGGCCGACACGATTCTTTGTCTTGTTCGATCCATACCCCGTTAAGACAGGGTGGGTTTGCCCGCGCCAGACTGGAATGAGAGCTAGCTGGTGCCCACCCTCTGAAACAGTTTCAGATTAATATAGCGAGATCAACCAAAAGAGCCGTCCATGTCCACCATTGGAAAAGAGAGCTTCCTCTCGGCAGTTGGTTGTTGTTCAGTTCCTTCCAAGAGAAATGGCCTGCTTGTCACGGGGCTGCCAGATCGGGTTAGTAATTCCGAATTGGGAATGGCGGCATGGAGTATTATCGTAATACCGTTACATCGTGATGACACGTGAGGCGTCTCATGGTCTCCATCTACAAAACAAAGTGCTTGACTGCATGGATTTCTAATGAGGAGATATCCTTGATACTATGCACAACATGCAGAGAATCTGACATCCATGTCACATGTTCTCGTGGCTTGGCTCATCTGCAAGTCAATTCAAAGCAACTCGCAAGTACCCACAACATGAGCATCCAAAGCTGCGCCACGATCCCGGTAAGCAGCGCATGCCTATTATTAGACTAGATGTTGTTTTTGGTCTCTAACGTGATCATCACCATGGTTCCTCTATACTTGTTACGGACGAACACATCCATATAATGCTATTCAGCCTCATGCTTAGCATTCCATGGTAGTTCTCTATCTGGTTACAATGTCATCATTTGTACCTTATCATGAGCCCATCGATATGAGTTAGACACGCAACTAGGAGGGAATGACTACCTACCAGCTTTTGCTTCTACTAAATCTTTCCATTCGTATCTACATTCCACAGGATATGGCTACTACCATAGAATCTACTTCAGTTACTTCTCAAACGGAAAACGCAAGTATGGCCGCCCAGAAAATCTGCATCCCTGAACTTTTGGAGATGATTCTTCTACAGCTGGACATGCGCAGTTTGCTCGTATCTGCTCAAAGGGTCTGTCGTGCATGGCACACCCTCATCAAAGACTCCAGCTCTCTCCAGACCTTATTGTTCTTCAAACCAGCGACCAATGCGTTCCCGACCGAGCCAAGGGCAAGGGATATGGTCGAGGATAACCCACTGCTTTCCTATATATGGCACGAATTCTGGCGAAAGAAAGCGTCCAATCTCTATTTTCCTCAACTTGATTCACATATAGAGAAAGTGTTCCTCCGAGAAGAAGCAAGCTGGAGACAAATGCTACTCCGGCAGCCGCCAGTTTCGTTAATGGGAGTTTTTGAATACGAGAAGTCTTACAGGGCTCCACGAGGCTCAGCGTGTTGGTTCAAGGAGGAAGACAAGTTTACGAGGTTGGAGTATCTATACTCGGAGATCTCGAGGCTATCCCTAATTCCTGGGCGAGATCTTCGCTCGTTTTATGAGCGCGACCTCATTGATCTGTACGAAAAAAGATTGGGGTATATGCGTGCACGCGTAACTTCCTGTCATCTGCCATCCTGCGCATTTGTGATATATTGTCATGAAATCCTGGGAGTAACTGGAGAGCCTTATGGTCACGGGCCTTTAAATAGTGACCTAGAGCTATGGCTAGGAAACGAGCTTGGAGTTTATGTTGCCTAGAGCATCCGCCGCCATGAATTTATCTGTGATGAGTATAGCCTATAGCCTATAGCTGCTTGGATGTGGGAAGATTGTGCGTATTGCTATAAGGCATGTTTTGATTTGCTAAAGAACTCTATAAGACACGGATGCCACGACATTTTGACAATCACATCTCACGACGTTGGAATGCAAGCTGTAAAGGAGGCAAACTCGTAGTAAAAGTATCCAGTGCTCCCGTTTCAAATGCCTCTCCCGTCTCGCCAGGCGCAAATGAGAAGTTGTACTGCTGGGCTATGGTCGATATGCTGGTCCGCAGACTAATCATGGCCAGGTTCTTCCCGGGACAGATATAAGGGCCTGCTTCCAATGTCAATCTGGGTAAACCACAAGGGAAAACCATCGCTCACCTGTCAGGAAAGGAATGAAGGGGGCACCGTCGGTCTTCATCTCGTGTCTCTTCTCACTCCATCGCTCCGGAATGAATTCCTTAGCCTCCTCGTAGTACCTTTCGTCAGTCTGAATTTGCTGAACAGGCACGAAAACAATGGTGTCTCCTGGAATATGGACTTCATCGACCTGAAGTCCTTCGGCTGGCGTGACACGATAGCCCCCTGTCATAACAGCCGGACGCAGGCGAAGGGTTTCATTGATAATGTCATCAATGAACGAGATATCCTTGACCTTATCATAACTCCAGTCATCTGCTCCGCCCGGCATAGCCTCGTCCAGTTTCCGCTGGAGCTTGGCCAGCACAGATTGATGCCTAGCCAAATAGTACAAGACGGTCGCCAAGGTGGTGGCTGTGGTCTCACTTCCCGCAATAATGACTGCCCGTGAGTCCTCATTCAGGGCCAGGCGAGAAGGAGCAGCAGAAGCACTTTTCTCCACGTATGCTTTGAGAAGCCATGAAACGACATCTTCGGGATAGGAGTTTGCATCCCAAGTCTGTAGGATAGCATTATACGACACAATCATCAGATATCATCATTAGGTTTTCACGATAAGAATTGCATACCTTCTGCTTCCTTTCAATTTCATCAGCACACCACTTGAAAAAGCTTCTGTAGCTAGAAACGGCACCAGGGATACGGCAGAGTATGTAGAGGAACCACGGGACCTGCAATAGAGTAGCACCGGCGGCCATATGGTCATGAACTCCTTTGATCGCTGGATGCTCCACACCGGTGGTCAGGTTATGGAAATCTTTGCCAAACCCGACGTCTCCCATTATATCAAAGCTAAGAAACATTGTCCAAGCCGTCACATCGATAGGTTGGCCCAAGTTCTTTGCTATATGGGCGGCAAGTAGATCAGCCTTGCTTTTGACCCGGGGCTCATATATTCCGAGAGCTGAACGAACGAGATGATGGGATCAGTCATTGGGTTAATGGAGATGATAGAGAGAGAGCTTTATCAAGCTAACATACATTTTACGTTGAAGCCCCGGTCCCACGCCTTTCTTCGCATTCTGTGGTCATCATGATCACGAGTGTGATGCACAGAGCAGTACTTGGGGTTTGTTGAGATATGGGCATACCATGTTGACTTGCTGCATTTAGACTGTGGCCCAAAGAGCAAAGGTATGGCGGACTTTCGCACAATGCAGACCTCACGTGGACCTATAAACGCGGAATACATTACAACCTGGACGAGAAGGTGGATAAGTAACTAGCACAGGATTACCGGTTCGAACAAAATCGCCATATTCGTGATGAAGTCTTGCGATCTCCACATTGTATTGGAGATCTTTGCCTGCCAAGTAGGCATTATAGAAGCGGGATAACTTGGCACCCACTGGACCTGGAAAGTGATGCAGGCGATGGAAGAATAATCGATAGATGCCAATACTGGAGATAAGACCCGTGTTGAACGCGGATGCGATGAGTACCACTCTAAGAAGAGCCTGAGCGACCGAGAATTGCGTCAAGGCTATGTACGCATATGCGGTCAATAGCACCGCGATCACATAGATTGTAAATAGTACGAAGAGATAGTCTTCGACCGGGAAGCTGGTGCGAAAGAGACTGACGTGCGAGAGCAGCCCAAACCCCGCGGCAGAAGCAGCCAGACTGAGCAGATCCGATTCCAACACAGCCCGCATGTCTGCCAACGAGACAATAGATGGAGAGAGTTGCATTGTGCTCATAATCTATTTCTGTATGTTAAAGTGCATGGAGATGTTTCCACTGACATTGAAACAGGGTGGGGCACCTGTTAATAAATGTAGAGGGTAATAAATAAACGTAGAGTGAGCCGTGGATGCGGACGTGCTGGCATGTCTGTTTGCAGCCGATGCTCTGTCATCTGATCGACAAAACTAATGGTTAGGCCCCCAACCCTGTGCCAACTAGCATAAATCCATGCTAATGCTTCGTCCAATCTGTATTGCAGTGATAGAGCTAGTAACTCAAGTCCAGCAATAATATGATCGTACGTAGCCACGCTAGCTGATTGCATGACGCAATACAATATAGTCGTTGATAGCCACGATAAGCATTCGTCAATTCCTAGCATATTAGTACTTGGTATTCTATCTCTTTGATTCAGAAAATAATAGAAGCTAAACATCTACGACGGGACTTAACACTACAAAATAGTTATAGCATACTTCGTAGATGCAATCTTTCATTCTAAGTAAGAATAGATGCTAATACACTCCTCCACTTCTTGGCCCCCAATCATATCGCTGATATATAAGGTTGAGCTTTATACCAATGTGTAGATGTCCTTCTATCTCGTCATCACGACACCGTATTCTTCGGAGAGACCGATGCGCATGCAACGGGCTAAAAGAGAAACGAGGGTGGTCCAAGCATTTCTTCCCCCCTCCACTAAGATTTCTTTCTGATTATTAGCGCCGAGTCTTTTCTAACATAGCCCTTACCGCGCATGCAGACAAAAAGGAGGGTGTAGCTATGCGTCAAGACCCCGTATACCGTAGGGTTTTCATTTCCTTTCCCCAATCTGGCTTGGCCGATTGACACCCATTTTATTCAAAATAGAACATTGCATAGTTTAAAATGATTGCCTTTTCGAAACCCATCCATATAGGATATATTTGTGTAAAGTCTGACCAATCATCGTCGCATTGTCTCGTTTCTTGTATGGGAAGGCTGCAGGACTTATTTACAGCTTCTTTAAACCAGGAATCAGAAACCCGCGATGTAAACGTTCCTTTATCTCTGTGAAATATGACAGTCACCGCTAATTGTCTCTTGATCTCAAGTTGCTCCGATGACTGTTCTTGAACTGTAAGTTCTCCACACCCCCGGCACAGATTCCTCACAGTGAAGCGCCTGCATGGCTGGCATCATCTATTGCGGGCTCGGTCAGGTATAAGAATATGATTTGAATTGAATAGAATAGAATAGGATTGGATAGAGTTGGATTAGAACACAGTCTAATGTGTCGCCAAGCGACCTACAAAGGTGATTTAGGATCTAGATCTCAAGATGATGGTGGTTTGGTGTCAGAGATGGTAGTCGAAGACCACCCACAGGTGATGAAGGATCGGGTGATGCCTGGCTATAGTGGATAAGATCTTAACACATACGTGGCTTAGAATCTCTGGTGACTACTTGTATCTCTTCGTCATCTCTTAATTCTTCCAGTTATTTCTCATCCCATAATAAATCTTCTCTTTAATCTTAAGTCTGAGAAAATGAATAAGAGTTGTTAAATTATTTTTTGCTATGTCTTGTGTTATGTCTCTTTATTATCTCTTATTTCTTAAAGTTATCTCTTATCCCATAACAACCTTCCCTTTACTCTTGAGTCTGGGAGAACGAGTCAGTAAATCTGTCAGCGGGGAGCGGAGTTACTGTGGCAGATAATTGGTCGTCCTGACAAGCTAGCTATGGGCGATTCTTTCCTGCAATATGGTGACTGATGAGATAAGTGTTCCATCAACCATGCTAAGACCGCCTGCTATTCCCCCAGCTGCGTATGTGCTCTATGATCCTTATCCTATATTCTCACTAACTGAGCTAATTAAGATTGGCCTCTGGTCCCGCGAATACTCAAGCTATTCCAGCAGAATAAATAACATGGCCTGTGCACCACCTACCGAGTCTACCCGCTTTTAAGTCAGAGTGAGTATCATTAGTCACGACTGTAACCAGGTATATTGTTGCGAAGCCAGGCTACCTGAAGAATGATTATCAACTGATTTATTAGTAACACAGTCGACCTCTGTGATAACATGTCATTAGAGCCGCAGAAGATCCCAGGTAGGCCCCATGTAGAGTACAATAGAGATTTATACTGATAGTAATTCTCTCTAGTCAGTCACAGCCCGTGGATGATTTGATATTTTTCAATACACTCCCCGACACAGCCGAAGATGGAGTCGTGGTGACTTCAAAGTATCCTTGTCGGGACAATCTCTCTATTTGCCGTGGGATGAACCAGACAGTACAACTTGCCAATTTAGCCCGCTTCATTGGGCCCTCAACTCGAGTTGAGCGAGGTGACTGGTCACTGCATAGTATTAATACAATGCCAACAGGTAGTTGGTTACTCGCGTCCGTTTACCATGGCGACTACTTCACACATGTTAATGTACTCCTTGACGATCTAGCCTCTGACTGCGATCACCCAGGCCATTCTCGGTCAATTTGCTGGGACAAAGGAGCAGCAGATTGTCACCGCGTCCGGATTGAAGCCAACGATTCGCTTTCCTGGTCCCGCCCACGGCAAGAGTCACGCCGCTCTTTTCCCGATATGTTTTTGGCATCATCCGCTCGCTGACAGCCTTCCGACTGGCCGGTAGTAGCAAAGGTATGTTATGCTTCCCCTGCCCGGAGGCTTAGCTCAGGCGCTACCGATTGCGTTGATTGGGGCCTGACACCAACGTGTAAGCTTAACGCGTGCACGAAGTATGGCTCCCTGCAGGCACTTTTGAAAAAAAAACCAATAGATAGGAGATATTAACCCATCTTCAAAGCCTCTACTCCAAAGGTCTAGACCACAGGCCTACTCCAAGCCGTTATCCCCAATTTTTCTTAGTCCCTTCAACTTGCCGACGCTATCTGGCTCTAATTTCAGCAGCGTGTCTTGGCGCTGGACTAAATATTAAAAATATGGGTTGATTGTTTCAGGTTCATATGAAGAAAAGCTTGGATATTTAGGCTTGTCTGCACGGACCTTCCTCAGTTCTTGAGGACACCCAACGTTGTGTGGATTAAGGAAGGTAGACATAAATAGGCAGGTGAGCAAATTTACTTACAAACAGATTTTCTCTAATTATCAATACTATGTAGTCTATGTACTTAGTATGTCTGTATATAAAACCTTCCTAGCCTTTTATTATAAGGGGAAATGAGCCAATTTCCCACAGTGACACAGAGACCACACAGCATTGCGAGGAATGTGAGACCCTGGCTCGTCTAGAGTCAAGCCGTACATGTCTCTATACACAAGCGAGAACGACCTCGAAAAATGAGTAATAGATTATATATGTAAGACCAGTAGAGAAGTTGAAGAAATAGCATGGCGGGATCAGGAGCGTACAAGCAATTGCCCATGGACTCACCTTAGACTGACAGATCCCTATTCATTCAACAGCTGTCGATCAAATATTGGACCGTGAGATTCAATATACTGTTGGTATAATAGGAGTAAGTATTTGTAGAAATTGAACGTACCGGACCGAGAGCTGCACTCCCGCCCCATGGGGCAATTACGCAGGGCATTGACCAAATTTGAATCACAGAAGATGTCCACATGATGGAGCAACAAAATCTGCAAGAGCATGATGGTGGAAATGAAGAAACACGGGAGCAGATGAGAGGTGGACGTTTTCAATCCTTCTTATATACACTGGTAGCTAGGTGGTTGCATAGATATTCTGTGTGAGCTAAACAGATGATATGGAGACCGCGCAACGCTAGCTGAAAGAGGCTAGCTTTGCGCGGTGATCAACGGTATGACATTACTAGCGTATGTTAAAAACCCAATCAACGCTTGTTTCTTATTGACGCTTTGCATGTTTTTGCTTCTCTGGATACAGTGACTTTTTAAAGAGGCATACATAAATATAATCAGGTTCTGGGATTATGCCGGGGTTCAATGATTGCTAGGGTGTATGAAGAATGCAGTAAATGCAAGCTGATGACTATCTGTTAGTTCCAAATACATTCTTATATAAAAATCCACAGCATCATGCCATCAAAAGACAAACTAAACGTTGTCGTCTGACGTGAGATTATAGTCTGACAGCTAACTACTTATAATTCCGCCAACTTGCCCCCAGGAATTGACTACTTGCCAAGAGCTAGTAGATTCAAAAAAATACCAGCAGCATGTCCTCGGTAGGCCTCACCTCGTCGCTCGAAGATTACCTCGCACAAACCTATGACTACCTCATCATCGGTGGGGGAACTGCTGGTCTGGTTGTCGCATCACGGTTGTCTGCAAACCCCGATGTGAAAGTGGGAGTCATTGAGGCAGGGGATGCAGGGTTTGATGATCCAAATATCACCAATCCCGGAAAGGTTTCGGCCATGCTACATAATCCCAAGTATGACTGGATTTACCAAAGCACGCCACAGGTAGGTCTTTCCGACCCTCTACGCTTCGGAGCAGGCTAAAGGCTCCTAGGCGCAGAACCAAAATCGATCCCATCACATTCCCCGAGGTAAAGTGCTCGGAGGATCGAGCGCGATTAACTTCATGGCGTATGGGAGACCTTCCGCGGTCGACCTTGATGACTGGGGCACCATAGCGGGAAACAGCGATTGGTCATGGGCAGGACTAGCTCCGTATTATCGAAAGAGCGAACATCTTGAGTCGGCTGGTTTGACCGGCACTGCATCGGAACTCTGTCCCGTGCAGAAAGAGGCACATGGCACGCAAGGCCCGATTCACACCTCGCTAGGCCCTTGGCAGGCTCCTATTGAAACCCCCCTGCTAGCCGCAATGGACGAGGTGTCGGGGCTGTCCCGGCCCCAGGAGCCATGGAATGGAGAGCACTTGGGCTTTCATCGGTGCCTCTTCACTGTCGATCGAAGCGCTGGCCTCCCACATCGCAGTTACGCGGCCAATGGGTATCTATGGCCAGTGCTGAGTAGACCAAATCTCCATGTCCTGACCAATGCGGTAGTCACCAGGATCCTTCTTGACGACGAGCAGTGTGCTCGTGGGGTTGAATTTGTTCATGTGGGAAATAACTATCAGGTCAGCGTCGCACGCGAGGTTATTCTATCAGCCGGTACTTTCGAAAGTCCCAAGCTGCTAGAGCTGTCAGGTATCGGACACCCTGAACATCTCGCCTCTCTGGGCGTTCCATGCCGGGTTCCTCTTCCAGGTGTCGGGACAAATCTCCAAGAACATCCCGTGTCCGCGGTGGTGTACGAATTAGCAGACGGAGTATTGTCCGTAGATTCCATCCCGCGTGACGAAAGTTTGCTAAAGCAGCACCTGCGACTGCTGCAGGAAGAGCAGTCCGGGGCACTTTCCGGCCCGGTCAGCCTGATGGGGTTCATCCCTTACGGACCCCAGGTCTCAGCTGAGCGGCTTAACGAAACCATCCTCAACGTGCTGCAGCATCATAGCAATGATGCCACCAACGATGCCGAACTAGTGACATTTGAGCACCGACGGCGCCAACGCATTGCCGCGCATTTATTGGACCCCCGGTCGGCGGATATCCAACTGGTGGGATTCCCATCAGCATTTGCTATCGATCGAGTGTATGCCGATTGCAGCAAACTTAGCCCGGGCCCTCCCCCAGGCCGGAACGCATGCTACTCGCTTATGGTCAGCTCCATGTATCCTGTCTCCCGGGGAAGCTCCCACGCACAGTCTCGGGACCCAGAGGCCGCACCAAGAGTGGACCTTGGATTCCTGAAGAACCCCGCCGATGTGGACGTCCTTGCGACGGCTGTCATGGTTGCGGATAACATCTTCCAATCTCCTCGCATGAAGGGGCAGGTCTTGGCCCGTGTGCAGCCGCCACCTGAGGTCAACTTGCAGGATGTAGAGCAGGCGCGAGAATATGTCCTGGATCGGTTGATGAGCTATCATCATGCACTTGGGACATGTGCTTTGGGGTCGGTAGTAGATGAGAAGTTATGTGTCAAGGGTACTCGGGGTCTGCGCGTGGTCGATGCCAGCATTATGCCGGCCCAGGTCAGTCATGCTGTGCTCGGCACAGTATATGCGATTGCAGAGAAGGCTGTCGACCTGATTGAAAGCGCTTACTCTCAATCAAACGGGGTGTAAGCGAGCTTTTGTACAATAATAAATATCTATTCTCTTTTGGAAGAGAATTCGAGAAGGGGATTTGAGATCAACTAGCGAAATAAAAATACTGCACGGCTGCAATCATTGTCAATGAGTATGCTTTGAAGTGCGCAAGATTTATAGATTTCGCCATCCATACCTATCTGCGGCAATAGGGCCCGTTATATTTATGCCTGCTTGTAGACAGGATATAGTAGCATGCCCGCCCAAATCAGAACATGCCCTTCCGCCGTTTCCTAAAAAGGCACTTCAGACCCATACAAGCATAAAGATAGATATAATATTACTTTAAACATAAGCGTGCCTTATCCGATCCCCATATGTTGCCCAATCCAGGCAAGACACTTTAAAGCGTGGCTTTGAGTAGGCAGTGGCACAGCCGAGCAAGTAGAGAGTACAAATAAAGAATGCAACAATAATAGGCCTCAAGCGGAGCCCCCAACTCCTGGAAGACTGTTCATGAATTGGACATGATGGTCTTTGATAATGACAGCCGATTGTGTGCTACTTGGCATTAATATTTCCAGGGTATTTAGTACTTCTTGGAAATACGCCGAGTAGAAAGCGCCGCATAAAATGGAGTATGAAGGGATGTTGATGATCATGCATGTTGAATAAGATCATCCCAAGACTTGATGCAGCCATTATCAACAGATGATAAAGACAAGCAGACTTTGATAATTTGATTGTGGATATGCTCCGCCTCCCATGTCGTAGGTATCAGACAAAGCAAGTACTTTATTCTTTCCTCTTCACTGTCTTTCGGATGACTTTGTTCGGTAACGAACTCTATTGCGATTTTCCCTGATCTGTCTTTCCTGGAGATTAACCAAATGGATGTATAGGCTCCTAGCATTCGAGCTCGACGTATATGCCAGGTGATGTCCCCATCTGGACGAATACCCTCTAGAAAAGGGAAGACCGAATTTACCGACGGCATGGAGAAGGCTGTGGAGACAATTAGGTTCACATTCAATAATCTGCGCATTTACAGGAAAGGGTTGCGGTTGAACTAACCATCAGGTCGGAACCTAACTTTCAGGATTAGTAGTTCCGACGTTTCCTCTTGGAGAGGTTGAAACAGAGCATCCATGATCACTGACTGAGTGGCCTCGGTAGTTTTAACGAGATATTCACGAAGGTCTAGCTTTTCTGCCCTGATCCAAAAGGTAGCTCAGCATTCTGTCAATGAGTCGCCTCGAAAACCTACCGTTCAAATACCAGCCATTCGACCTCGGTCTGTTCGCCCCTTGATATATTCTTCAATGGACGCGGTTGACCACGATTTATTGAGTAGGGCTTGACCGGTGAAAAGGTGTATGAGTGGGAAAAGTCATATAGAACTGTATCAAAAAAATCCATCGGAAGTCTGAAGTGCTCATCTTTAATATCCCCATGGGTGATTCCAAGGCGATGCAACGTCAGAAGTCGGCGAACACGGTCAGTGAAGAGGGAGTCATAGTAATCCACTTCTAAATCACTCAGGGAACCTAGACCTCTCAGCTTATCCCTGAACTCATTCCCATGGCTGTGTTCGTCGCATGCTGCTAGTATTCGTCGTGATGAAAGTTTCGGCCTGATACATTCTAGGGCAATGGCTCGATGTTTAGCGTAGGGACTGCTAAGACACTTTTCGAGATCGGCAATGACACCATGAAACCCAGGAAAGTAGATCCTTTGAGAGCTTGTACATGACGCGTCAATGCGACTGAACACTTTCAGTTCATTGGCAAACCAATCAAGTTCATCCCTAAGCTCCTTGGCCGTCTTAGGGAAACGTGGGGGCCGGCGTCTAAGCTGCATTTCTGCATCATGTTCAGTGTACTCTGGGAACTTCAGTTTGATTAACATTGGACTTTCTGTTGACGATTTCCCACTCCCTGATGTACTCACAATCTTAGCCACATGCTGGCGGTGGAATATCCCTCCACGTCGGACATAAAGCCACAGAACTTGTATTCTGCCAAACTCAGAGTATCGTCCGGTATCTGCGGATCTTCCCAGCATCCATTTTCTCTGCGGGTTGAAGAGTCTGACATCTTGCTTATCTTCATGGCCTGCATTGATCCAATCTGGTAGAGGCCAGTCAGTGAAGAATGTCTCTGTCCACGACTGACCTTGCGTATTGCTCATCCTCGATCAAAAAACTGGTAAGCTAGCTTTATGATCACCTGAAAATTGCAATCAGCCAAATTTTATAGACTGTGTATATCCACTTCAACGAGGGTCCCGTGAAGATTCCTTTGTAAGTTTCAAACACCTAAAGTAGGATTAAAACGATGATACATTGTAGAACGAGACTCAGGGATGTGAGATGGGGTGCGAATTAATTCCTTATATTGTAGATATAAGCATGTTACTGCCAAGATTGTGATTTCTTATAGGAAAGGGTGCCTGCAGCTGCCTATATTATTAGGCAACAGCTTGACCCCTTGCATAGCTTACCAAAGATGCATTTGGCCAAATAAGAAGAAAATTATACGATGGAATAATTCTCCCATTCTATGAGGAGCCAAAGAACCCGCAGAATTGCAAAAAAAGTAGAAGGAGAATATGGCCATTCACTGGCTGCACCTGCCTAATATGGCCATTTGTGTAGTAGTAGTTTCTACAATTGCGGCAGATGTACGAGCCTGTCAATGTAGATGCCCCAGGGTTTTCCTACTTATAATGGTTTACTATTTCTCGTTCAGTCATTGCAGAAGCTACTACAGAAGATTCCTCATTGCTAGTCCTTTACTAGCCCCAGTATAACAAAAGACCTCATGGATAATTGCAGCAAACAATGCAATCGCAATCCACCAAGTGAATACGAGAAGGCAAGGCATTTTTCCGTAACACTATTGCCATTCTTATCTACTTATATCTTCTGTTGGGACATATCTCTCCATCGGCTGATCAGAGAGATGCGGTATATTGTGTTTGTCTAGCAGTCAGCGCGTCGACGTTTGCTCTTTCCTTCCACCAAACCCATCAACTTTCCTACCGGCATGTTGACCAACATCTTCACGTCGTTCTCAGCGACCTCCAACACGCGTCGACTTCGAGTCGTCTGGAGCCCAGGAATGGACGCTACCGGGCTACAAAAAGTAAGAAGCTTCCAAACGCACTCTACACCATAAGTCCCGAAACAATGTCTAACTGCTCCTCATAAACTTCCCACAGGCATAGACTTTGAGTCATCTGGAGCCCAGGATAGACCCCGACTTCAACGAATGCTAGCATACATTGAATCCACAAAGCATATATCAACCACTGCGTTGAATATGGTTCCTGCCCACAGCACTGTAGGATCGTTATGGGATGGTGGTATTGATATGGAAAAGCCAAGTACAGAAAATCTGTACTTCTGGGGACAAGTAAGAACCTTCTAAAGTTAATATACTGAACAAACCTCAAGCGCATTCTGACTGCTTCATCATTTAATAGAGGCACTTCCAGCACACTTGTTCGGCTCCTACATATACCACAACTGGCAAGCGAACGTGGAGGATATCGCGGAAGAATACTCAAACATTGTATCTTCCAAGCCAAACCTCAAACTCCAGATACCGAAAGCTGTTTCCACGGTACGATGGCGGCTTTCGAAATCAATATATGGATTGTACGCCGGGATAGTACAAGAAAGGAAGAAGGAAGCAGCTTCGGGGGTCTCAAGCATAATACAGTCTGAGTACTGTCATTAGAGAATCGAGGAGATCTTCTCCCTTTCTCTGGTTGATCCTGACCGCGACCTCTGGTGAACTGGACCTTACAGTCCTACTCAAACTAGCCGAACTGTCGAAGTGAAGAGGTGGACTGGAGCCTAGAAAGCTCTAGTACGTCGACCAAACTCTTCAATGAGCTCATAGGGGCCAAGCGACGCTGGGGCTTGAGATTGAGCCCGTCAATCTTGCAATGTCATAGAAAAAAGCAAGACAAAGGACAAAAGTCTTAAACATTCGAAACGTGAGGGTGATAATCTGGCAAGACCTATTCATACTACACATCTATAGGGGCAAGATTGACGGGCTCAATCAGGAAGCCCCAAGGGCCTCCAGCGTTGCAAGGCCCCTATGAAGAGATTAGCCGACGTACTGCCCTTCTTTCAAGACAGGGTGGAAGCTCCCTTCCATGTGGGCAATGCCATCTACCTATGAGGCAAGCTGCCTCAGGTTACAGCTGCAAAAGACATCGTCCTCACTATCATCGCAATGAGCAGCTGCCCGGGCAAGAAGGGGTTAGAATGGGAGAAGATCAGGGCGCATTCAGTCAGTAAAGAAGATGGTGTGGAGGTGAAGGAGAGATATGATGTTGGAATTGCGGTTCTGCCAAGTAGGCAAAACGGTATATCGCTGGCTACTTGGAGCAGACGGAGCGACAAATGTCTCATTATTTGATGTCAGGCTGCAGGCACTGCAAAAGCAACCTGATTCCTCTTCCGACTTTTGCAAAGGACAAAGAGGTCGCATGAGGAACTGGAGCATACCCCTTCGCACGGAAGAATTGGTAAGAAATATATGGGGGCAGGCTGAAGGGTGAAATATATTACGAACATTGGGCAACAGTATGACCCCTTGCATAGCCTGGAGATGTCAGCGGGTAGCTTATCAGAGTTGTGTATGAGTACCTCGGATGTAAGTTTATGGTCTGATCAGATAATTAATGTAAACAGTGGGATAATTATATGATGTATTATGTGAAAAATACAGAATTCCGCAGTGGAACAAATCTATGAGGAGACTCATGCTCATTTACCGGTATGATTTTGTCAGACGTTTGCCGAATTATATGGCATAGTTTTAATATCTAATGCAGTGTCTTAACTCATTAATGGTATTCGCTTCCCTGAAGCTCAAGCCCAATTACCGATCATTTTCCGCCCGCGACTCCTCGGCCATACCGATCTTCGCTCGTTTCGAGAGATCAGCTTGTAACGCCTTATCGATGGTTGCATTGATCTCCTTGACCTTTTCCAAAGCAACAGAAGTCTTATCCACAAAGACCATCGCATCCACTGGCGATCCAGAGAACTTGGAGACGAAGCACACATCACCCGCATTGTTGATGCCAATTACGACGTCGGCTTCCGCTGCTTGTTCCTCCTTCCGAGTTGCATCAATAATAACCCGCTTTCCTTCATCAAATGTGTGGAAAGTAACAGACAGCGGCTTATGCGTGATGTTCAATGCGACAGGAACACGCTCATCGAGCCCGTAGACGATCACCTGGCCATCCTTGACTACAGCGTCTTGACGGCGGAAATGCTGCAGTCCGGCCATAATACCAATACAAGCCGCATCAATCAGATTGCCATCGTAGTCGGTAACGTGGACGTCCGCGCGGATGCTCCAGCAGCTGACACCCTTGAGGATACAGAGGGACTCGGTGTCCAGGGCGTTGGAATGGCGAACGACACGGTCGAGGACGTTGGTGACATATGTTTCAAAATCTCCTTGTCTGAAACAAAAACTGTTAGCTGAGATATTGCTTGATCGCGGCTGATGAGGAAGTCATACCGGCCATTGTCCCAAGCGGGAGAGCCCATGGCAGTTAGCTCCATGGCAATCGTGAAAAGACCGTCGAACGGACGATCATCGTGAGGTTTCGTGACTTCAGCTGAGATACGGACAATAAGGCTGCAGCGGAAAGAAGAGTCAATTAGCGTTGTTAAAGCAAGCTGCAATGAGTCTACTCACCTGGTTTTGCCGAGCTGCACCTTCACATGTCCATACTCCTCCCCGAACGACACATTCAGCGGACGCAGCTGATCGAAACCGCGACCGTCCAGTCGCACATCCTCGCGCAGCGCATTGAGGATGAAGTCGCGCTCAGTGACGGAGAGCAAAGCTTCTTTGTTCATGATTGCGGAGGCGGATTTGGCCCCGGCGGGGGGTCACGGCGGACTTTCTGGGAAATTTCCTGCATGCCGCATCGTCATCGAGGCAGCGGGCCAATGTTGTTCCTCGTGGAGCCAATGAGAGAGATTGCTCGCGGGCGGTGAAGTGGCTGACTCATCTTGTGGCCTGAGGTTGCACATGGGCGATCATTATCAGATCTCATCCTCATCGGAGTGCCAACTACCACCAACACACAGTCTAACAGCCGCCACCATGACTACGGGTATGTATCTATACTCATTGGAATAGTGAAGCTGAGTACTAACTACTCGATAGCTCACAGGCCCACGTTCGATCCCGTATGTACCTCGATCATCTACTCAGCGCATGAAGCTCATTGCAACAGGCACAAGGAAAGGAGGCCCTCCGCGGCCCTGCGTACCATCAACGTCTCCTTCCGGCTTACACACACCTTAAGACACGGTAAGTGGTTTGCAGACCGTGTGCGATCATCACTGACATGTCCAAGTCAATTCGGTCAGGGTAGTGAAGTCGAAACTCAACAACGCGATTTGCGCGCCGAGCTGCTCCAAGCGGAAGCTGCTCATTTCGCCAAGAAGAATGGAGTTCCCGTGGACGAGCCCAAAGTCGAGACCGCCACGCCCAAGCGCCAGTTGGAGGGTGGTTCACCTGGTGATGATGCAAAGACAGAGGAAGAAGATCCAGAAGCCAAACGACGACGAATACTAGAGGAGACTCGAGATATAGATGCAGATTCTGACGAGTCGGAAGAGGATAGCAGCGAGGATGAAAGGTCAGACTTGCGGATATCTTAGGTTCGCGCGATAGTGCTGACAGGATGCAGTGACGATGAAGAGGACGAGGCCGCCGAATTGATGCGCGAGCTGGAGAAGATCAAGAAAGAGAGGCTTGAGCAGAAAGAGAAAGAGGTTTGTGCAGAAGATTTGGACTTAGGATGAGTTACTGATAGCTGTCAGGAACGCGAGCGTGCTGCACAAGAAGAGGAGCAACGCGAGGTTGATATTGCTCGAGGCAACCCGCTGCTTAACCCCCAAGACTTCAATGTAAAGCGCAGGTGGGACGACGATGTGGTGTTTAAGAACCAGGCCCGTGGTACAGAAGATAGGAGGGGCAAGGAGTTTGTCAACGTAAGTCTTGCCTTGTATTATGTATGATTCTATGATACTAATTTAGCATGCAGGATCTGTTGCGATCGGACTTCCACAAGAGATTTATGGTGAGTTGTACGCCTGGAATAGCGATGAATCTACTAACTCGTGTAGTCGAAATACGTCCGCTAAGCTCGTGCCCGAAAAACACACGCACTCATTGCAGCAGTCAATCCGACGACGCTTGTCTATCCTAGAGTCGTCAATCGATCCCATCCATACAGATCCAGCATCGTGGTAGAAACAACACCCATGTTAGCACGCGAATAGAGAAGCAGCACAAGCATATGCTTCCTAATCCAGCACAGGAAGAAAGCGCGACGACAAGCGAAAGAGTGAATGGGTGATCTCACACATGGCGCTACTATAATTCTTCTCATAGTGTATACCCACATCTCAATCAAACCGATTATCCATATAGCCCAATATAGTTTAGTACCTGAGTAGTCTCCTATCATATCAACCTGATAGACACCGTACTGCCGGCAGTACCCACACCGCTCCCGATCTACTTGCACCGCAGCATCCATCTTCATCACAGTGATCCTATCCCATCTTTTCACACAAACAGGAACCACTAGCTTCATATCAGAAATGGATTCTCAACCGTCATCGAAAGCGCTTCACTGTAAGCCAAATATTAAATGTCCATCCCCCCGTCGCACAGCTAACAACCATCATCCGTCGCAGATCGCATCAACACCAACATCTCGCAATTACTCCAACGATTCGAGAACATCATGGCCACAGCAACTGTTAGCTCACCTGTCCTCCTCCTATCCACAAAGGCGAATAACAATTAACCCTAAACCTTCAGACCGAAAGCACCAGCCACACCTCCACCGCCGTCGAGACATACCAGCTCGACGTGGAGTCCACAGCATTAGTACGTCCAACCAATCTTACACAAACCATGTACAAAGCTTACAGAGATAAATCTGGAATAGGTCCGCGCCGCAGAAGACATCCTCGCCCTAACCCGAACAATGAAAGAAACCTGGCTATTCGGGAAACTCGACACACTAGGCGAAGACGAAGCGGACGTGAAACGGCGCGAGGAATTAGAGATGAATGCGGAGGCGATTCAAAAGGCTATTGAAGATGGGGGGTTTTTGAAGGCTGCTAAGTGAGGAGCAGCTCTGCTTTGGGTATATTGTATTATGTTGTGTTGTGTGTGTGCATGGCGTATACCGGGTCAATTATTGCATGGAGTTGGTGGATAAATGGCGTTAGTTTTTCACGGTTGATAGAGTTGTGAATTAGGTAGTTGTGTATATACCATCATCATTATCATCATCATCATCATCATCATCATCATCATCATCATCATTATCATTATATTTGTAAATATACACTGTTTTACTAACTGTATAAATATCTGTGTGGTAGATAATAGGCTAAAGCACGTGGTTTACCACCACCACCACCACCCCAGCGGGGAATATCGTTGATCGCGAACCGTTCTGATAAAAGCTTCCCTATCAAATTTCCCCCCACCGCGTCCCTCCCTCCCTCACTACCAACAACCAGGCCTCATACAACACATACCTACCTACCACCATCACCACCACCACCACCACAATTCTTCTCAAAAGAATAACTACCAAAATGCCTCCCACACCCCGCCCCTTAACCCTCATCGTCGCTACCACCCCCATCCCAACCCCAACCCCAACTCCCACCCCCACCTCCACCACCGAGAGCAGCAGCAGCAGCACCCCAATCCGCCTGGGAATCGGCCACTCGGGCACGCTCCCCTGGCCACGAATCAAAACCGACATGTCATTCTTCGCGCGGGTGACCTCCCGCCCGCCAGTCCCCGGAACCACCAACGCGATAATAATGGGGCGGAAGACGTACGATTCCGTGCCGGCGCATCTGCGGCCGCTAGCGAAGCGCATTAGCACTATCATTACGCGGGATGTGGAGGGGTTGAAACCTAGGGTGGCGAGGGAGGTTGAGGATCGGAAAGCTAAGTTGGCTGCGTCTGCTGCTGCATCTACATCTGGGGGTAATGGTAATGCTGTGCAGCCAGCGACAGACGCGATCGTGTGCGGGGGATTGGATGAGGCGCTGCAGGAGCTGGAGACGAGGTATGGAGATGAAGGGAAACTAGGCAAGGTGTTTGTGATTGGTGGGGCGGAGATATATGGGGCTGTTTTGGCTGCTGCGAAAGGAGGAGGGCCGGTGAGGATTGTGATGACGAATGTGGAGAAGAAGGGGTATGCGGAGGGAGATCGGGGGGAGGTGTTTGAGTGTGATACGTTTTTTCCGGTGGATGAGGAGTTGTTTGGGGAGAAGGAGGGGTGGAGGAGGGTTACGCCGGAGGAGGTTACGGAGTGGGTTGGGGAGGAGGTTACGGGGAGGTGGATTGAGGAGGGGGATGTTAGGGTGCAGATGGTGGGGTATGAACGTCAATAGTATGTATACTATTGAGAATAGTAGTGGTGGGTAGAGCTATGTGCGCGGGCGTACTCGGTGTCTATCATGGTGGAAGTTGATATACTTCTGGCAGAGTCTATGTATACGGCAGATATGTACAGTCTAGATAACAACTAGCCGCCCTAATAATGCTGGTACAAATCACATGCTCTCGCTGAAATAACAAATCAAAACCCAAATCAGAGGCAAACAAACCAACTCCTTGCTAATATACAAGCACATGGAGTATGCACATTGCTGGATGCAGCTGTCAAATACTTGTCAATAATCGCTGAACGATGTCGTAATGAAAACACTGCAACGCTGAACGCTGATAATCACATCACTCATTCTCTTTCATATACTTCACAAAGGCTTTCTTATGTACTAAGCCGGCATACTGTCCATCATGCGACACGCACAGATAGCGCAGACCAAGCTTGGCAAAGCATTGATACACGAGGTCGATAGGCGAATGGATGTCAAGGGCAAGGGGGGACTGCAGATGTCAGATTTGTAAACGTAAAAGGAATGGAGCTACATACCGGATCAATGTATTGTCCAAAGTCGACGCGGCCGGTTTCGGCTTCATCCTCGCTGTCAGAAACAGCCGAAGAGCCGTCGAGACTCATCAGGCAGAGGGTGTTCTCCTCGTCCGCGAGGTTGTCCAGTGCGTACTCCAGCTCAGGGGCGGGGATTAAACCGGTGAGGACACCATGGCGCAGGATCGGAAGACCGCCGTCGAGTTCGCCCGCCATCAACAGGTTCTGAAGTTTCGAACGTAGCTCGCGTGCCGGCACAAAGGACGAGCCCGAAATGTCAATGATACGACTTGAGCGAACCGGCCGAACGAGATCCCCTAGCTGTGCATCCGACGTCGGTTGGTGCTTACTGTCCAGGAACGGGTAAGAATTCATGTCCGTCAACATATCCTGTTCAAATTAGTCCACATCTTTCCACAAAGCATTCGCGTTACTTACGTAGATGCTGCGAGGTTCGATAGCGTCAGCAGTCCACTTGGCACACAAGACAGCCACGGAGAATGGCAGCACGTGGTCCAAACTTCCCGTGAGCTCAAAGAGAATGACAGCGAGTGTAACAGACAGGCGTGTTACTCCACACATGGTTGCACCTGCTGCAACCATGGCGTACACACCGGGCGTCACGCAGGATTCCATGCCGGCGGTGGCGGGACACGACGATCCAAACAGAAAAGAGGTGGGATATTTCAGTACCAAGTACTGTGCTGCATGTCCAACAATGCGGCCCAGAAGACCACCAACAACCATGGAAGGGACGTAGATACCACACGGCACCTTGATTCCGAACGTCACCACCGTGAGGAGACTCTTGATGACAAACGCAACAAGCAAATATCGAATAATTTCTCCGATCCCCTCCTCCGGCGGACACAGACCAGTCGGCGATGAGGACTCGTGATCACAAGGGCTAGCCAACTCAAACATAAGCTCGGAGACGGGCAGCTTGGTGTAACGATTCCAAAAGCTAACCAATCCGGTCAAAACAGCAACAAGCACGACCTCGATCATTGGCCAACGCTTGATAAACCAAATTCTCCGGAAAGACCGCGCCCAGAGGTTCGAGGCCTTGATGAACAGAGCACCTAGCGCTCCACCGAGGACACCTAGGAGGATAAAGATTGCCATTTCAAACATCTCCCAGTCGCCCAGATAGCGGACCTGGAACAAGACAATCTTGCCTGTGCCGTAAGGATTGAGGAACTTCAAGGAGAGAGCTGCTGCGATGCAGCAGAAAAACGTTCGGAACAAAGTCTTCGGAGGGAAATAGTAGCTAACTTCCTCTAAACTGAAAAGAACACCACCGATCGGGGCACCGAATGCTACCGCCACACCACCTGCAGCACTTGCGCTCAAAACCTCACGTCTCTTGCCATCGTTGTGGTTATACTTGGCAAAAATGCGACAGCAAATATTGCCCACACATGTCGCGATGTGCACGTATGGTCCTTCTTTGCCCAAGCTGAGGCCGGACGAAACGCTGAACACCAGCGCAAGGGTTTTGATCAAGAGAGTCTTGAAGCCAAGGTATCCATGCAGAACGAAGCCGCTGTTAATGACCTTGACCTCAGCCACTCCACTACCTGCCGCAGGATAGTAAACCATGGCAGGACGCGTGGGGATGGCGGAACTAAGCGCCTGCTGGCTGGAAGCAGATCCGGGCGAATTACTATTTGCATTGTTTCCTTTTGTACTCCGTGACGACGCCGCCCCCAGGTTTTCATCCAAAGTTGTTAGCGACACCGAGGATGGTACCACGGTCTTTGTGAACAGCGTCAAGAGGCACGAAATGACAGAAAGAAGCACCACCCAGAAGATGAACATGCCGTAGTTGACCCAGTAATTATCCGGTCCTGAGGGATTGTAGATCTGGGACCAGGACCGCCACGCCGGGCAATTCGAGCCTCCTGTACAGCAGCTCTGACGGCTGTGGAACCAGTGTGTAGTACAAAAGCCTTCCTTCACGTCAAAGATGAATTCCTCAGTCACGTCTACCGAATAAGCTATCGCGGCCGTGATACAGCCAATCAATGCGACCAGGACCCAGCCCTGGGAGCCATCGAGCCATGCCAGCAGACGACCGCGAATATCCTTGCGCTTGCGCAGCTCCCGAAGCCGAGCCCCGTCTATGATACTGTCATGAACCCAGTCAGTGGAGGTGAACTGGTCATACCAGCTCCGCTCATCCATGAATGAAGCCGTCAGGCCATCTTTGACGGAAGCAGCCAAGCTTTCCGCCTGCTCCGCATCGATACTGCCGCGTCGACTAAATCGGATCGCCTGGGAGTTGGCGCGGCTATGGTGTCGCGACCGGCGAATGCTTCCCGTCATTAGGGTGTGTCTAAAGTTGAAATCGGGCCCCGTATTTCCAGAAAGATTGGTATATGAACGTCGTGGCATACCCCGCCGGGTTTCGTTGCCCTTCGGTAGAAGACTGGTGGTTTCGCCTACTTCCATACTCGGATCCGAAGGTTCATGGGGGGTTTGGACTTCAGAGAGAAGGCTATGGGTTCGTCGAACGGCAGATGGCGAGGGGGGAGCTGTTCGCGAGGCAGTCCTGCGGGCGTCCGATCCGCCGGAGGGAAGCTCGGCTTCCGGGAGAGCGCCTTGCAGATTAGGAGGGATTGAACGAGGCATTTTTGGAAGACTAGGGAAGCAAGAGCTGCTTCGGACTTAATATATGCGGCCTGGAGATAGTTCAAGTCAGCCCAGGCAGTCCGGGGTCTGCCAGATGCAAACCAGCAGCAGCAGGGACGGAGAGATAAGAACAACCCTCAGCAGCGGACATATCCAACAACATTTAAGCCCGAGAAGAGGCCGAGAAAACGAACAGTGGGGACTCCGACTAGTTCGGTGGTTCTCCAGCGCGCGCGCGGTAGATGGCGGTGAAGTTGCCGAAGTGAAGAAACTAAGAGAGACGGGAGAGACAAATAAACACGGCAGTCGCAAGGTTAGTTAGTTAGTTACGGGGGTGAGTGAGGCTGTTGAGGAAGCACACAATGACAGAAAAGAAAGAGCTTAGCGAGAAGTGAAAGAGATGACACAATTAAGAGGGGCAGGCAATAATAGTTGTTAGAATAATAATAATAATAATAATACCGCCTCAAAAAGGAGAGGTTTCAGTGGAAAAGGGAAAAATAAATGCAGGAGGCAGCGATGGGCACGACATCCGAGGAGGTCATGGCCACCAAAGCAGATAAACGGGGCTAAAGGCGCATCATCTGACGATCGGAGTCCGGGTGGTCCCCTTGACTTCTTGTCTTGGTTGGTCACCACGCCCTAATCATTCCCCATCCACTTCCCAAGAGAGGAGGTGTTTTCATGTCTCTCCTTTGAAACCTTGTTGCTTTTAACTCTTCCCACCTTCCACACCCCCTCCTTTCGTGAACTTCCCTGCCACATATTAGCAGATGATGAAGGGAGTGGAGGGGGAAAAAGACAGCATGACAAACGGTCAGATAAATAAAGAATCCTGGGGGACCCGATCCATGGCACGTGCATTGTCACGATAATGGCGGCCGTGTAACATGCCAATGATGCCATTCATTCCCCACTCTCGCCTAATTATTATCATCTCCAAGCTTAGTACGTAGTTTAGCTGCTGCTGCACCCCGGATGTCCGCCGCTCTTAACGCCTTAACTGCCTGTCCATTATACCCTGGGACGCGAGGCATGACCCCTCCATGAGGCACCCTTTACCACGGCTGAACCCGGTTTAGAAAATGAGGCGTGAGCTGGCCCTTGACTGCACTACTTTATTTCTACGGGCGCCTGATTACTGCAATTGGTTAGGATGATCTCCGTGTCAAAAGATCAACACGATAGTTGAGGCGACATTGACGATGTCTGTGTCCTAAGATGGAGTCATAAACGACGTTCTTATCATGGCCGCGTTGTACTTACTGTAGTAATTGTGCACCACTCGACTCTTCAGAGGGTGGATATATACAATCCACCTCCACCGATCATGGTGTCACAGCGTCATCTTCACCACTGTCACTCACAAAAGGAATAATGTCTTTAATCCATGACAGCACCCGCTCAAAGGGTCTTTTTAGTCCGAACAGATAATTTGTTTTTTGCCGCTTCCCCGCATGATAAAGCAATATTGAACTCTATACCAGTTACAGTATACCTCTCTACTCGGTCGATGCAGGCTACCATGGCTCCACTCCCGTGCATGCATGGCAATGTATACTTTGCCACTCTGCACAGCTACCAAGATCTGATGCCGTACTTTAGGCTTTTGCTATTAGGAGACGGGAGGTGAGTAGCTTCAGCTAATCATACTTTATAAATAATATTGCGAAGTTGCCTGGTTCAACTGTACAAACATGATGTATAGAAATCTTCAGCTTGTCCCACAAGTCATGCCATACCCCAACTGCCACCGATCTTTCACCCACCATCTCCAAGACAAAGATAGCTTCAGTGTCCGGTTGGACAGCGATAATCAATCATCTGCGGAGACTTTTATCAAAACCACCAATGAAAGCCTACTCCAACCCCGAATACAGTTCAATACCCAACGCATATGACGTATCCGCCACCATAGACCTTTTCGGATCTACATATACAGCGTACGTGGAATTCCGAGAATCAAATCCCGATCGTATGGCAAGGTTACTGTTGCAACAACTATCATCGACCATTTCTACCAATAACAAGACCACTCACGAAACCATGGCTCTAACCGACATTCCATTACCGTATAACTCTCCTCTCCTCACAGCAGATATCCTGAAACAAGGACTCTTGTCCTGAAACCAAGATAAAGAGCCCACCCGTATATATTCCACCCGCGGAACCCATGAAACCGCCATGAAACACCCCGCATCATACAAACAAGGTCGCTCCCCTGTCCCCATCAACTTACTGCCCTCTCTTTCAACAACCCCCTCATCAACAATCGGACTTAACACCATCTGCAAGAATAACCTACCCCATACAATCTCCAATCATCTTTCCTAAAATGTAGATTAGCCGCATCCCTCCTCCGCATCCCATGTTCAAATTCCCCCTCACCTATCATTTGTCCATCCCCACTGTCCAGTTTCAGGTATCAAGATACTTCATGTTTGATCTTCATAAATCACACAGAGCTCTGTAGTAAAAGATACGCATCTCCGGCTCTATTAATACAGTATCAGAACCCTATATTCGTGGGTAAGTACTCCATAGTATTCAGCCATAACGTGTGATATAAGGTAGGAAAGTGACCACTGTCGAGAGATGTTTGATCGAGGACTATGAGACTTCCTAACAGCCTGTTGTTACAGGTCAGATTTGGTGATGCGGTTGGTATAGTGCGTGTAGATAGACAATAGTCTTGACCATTCAATCTCGGTTGAGGCCTCATATTAGTGTTCCAGCAGTACTTCTTTTCTCTGGTTAGGGATCGGCATGCTTTACCTGTCAATTCTTCTTCTATACCTACCCTCTAGTATGATCCATCATTTCCTATCTAATTCCCCACTCTCTTCGTGGCCGTATACCCAAACACCCTGATTTTACCTATTTGTACAGCCTTCCCTTTCCGATCCTGGGTCTTGAAGATAATGTCTCATGCCTAATGGAGTGGATATAATAACAGTAAGGATCAGATTGAGGGCGATTCCAGCTGTGCTGTCAGTGAGGTATTCTTAATTAATGAGGCCTGATAATGACTTGACCAACGAGCCGGAAGGCAGCGACGAGTCTAGTAATAACGATTAGTAGGATGAGAAGTCTGTCATTGACGAGGGTGAGCTGCTCATAGGGTATTATAACGCTCGAGCAGAAAGTCTAGACATCTCTGAAGCAGATACAGATATCTATTATTTATCTCAGAAGTAGTGTCTTCTGCAGTGGGTCCTCAAGCAAGAGACTGCGGTGGGAGTAAATGAGGGATCCAGGTGAAGGGAGTGCAAGCTACTTATATACTAAGTATAAAGTTACAGATCTCTCCGCTCTGAATTGAGATAGACAACTGACCGCCATACCTTTGGGCTATAAGTGCTCGTCATTGTAGCCGAGCAGACAAGCTTGGAGAAAAAGAAAGAAAGAGAAGCTCAGGCGGCCCCCGAAGAATATATACACTAGTAGTAAGAATATTCTTGCACGGAGCGCATGACTTGAATGAATCTGTATCTCAATATATAGAATGATCATACCTTTGTATGTGAGGAATGTACATGCCAGACAGGCACTTAGTTTGGAAACATAGCTTGTCTATCTCATCGCAGCCCACACATATCTAGATAATACAATTCTTGTTGCATTTTATGCGTTGTTTCCGTCTCAGATGCGAGTCATAATACTAATGATTTGGAATTTGGTGGATGGGGATTGCCGAATAGCTAATGAACGGAAGCTGCGGTTCACTTCTTGATGATATATCTGCTTCCATATAGGGTTTAACTAGACAATGTTTCACCCCGAAGATGGACACCGACTGTTTTTCACATCATAGACAAGACTGATATATTTATCCCATATTAGCAGGCCAATGATCAATGAATAAGATGAAACACAATTCTGTTGTATAATACACTGGCTTAGATTCACGTTGTTTATGTGGCCAAGGTTAAGATCTCGCCTTCCCAAATGCCATTTCCTAAAATGACAAGTAAGCCTTCTTTGACTTCCCTCCAGAATGTAACGGAAGTTGAAGGGAGGATTCGGGAAGCGCTACGCCTCATAGGGCGAAGGTAGCCTCTACGTCCCCTTCGTGTTCACTGATGTCTTCTGATAACTATGTGGTAGAGAAGAATTGTCTCTGGGACAATTTTCGCGTGGGGTGTCTTAATATGTTAGTTATTGAAGATCCTGAAATTATACTATGACCAGTCAATACCAAAGGACACATACTACGGAGTAAGGCCATAAGAGACATGCAATCCACAAGAAGTAATACACTAGCCTAAAGACGCACAATCTAATTTGGAATCATGCAACATTCCAAATTCTTGTGGGGGTCATTTGTGTGGCAAATCCTGCACGGTATGCTAGGATGGTCAATAGCTGCTTATAAGAGCTGATGTCCTCTGAGTTCGGGCAGTAAGGGGAATTCGTCGAATTCTCTTTTGATAGTTGATGTGGTTTTCTTCATAGTGTTACTTGTCACTAGTCATTGCTATCAAGTGCTAAGTAACTAGAAGGGGGAGGGGGATGATTAGCATGTCAGGCGAGCTCCTACTCTTGGGGATCAACGATTTTGGTTGATTCGAGTTGTACTGCTCCGCTCCTGTCATTATTGTCTTCATGGAATTTCGCTGTATTACCCGCCGGCTTTTTTTGATCTACAGTTTTTGTTGAGGTTTTATGCCGAGATTGCAGTATAGGCTCTTTGCATGCATCAGATGATCGAGGCCAAGAAATCGAGCCTGCGATGGACTCTCGGAAGACGTCCCCGCATATCCGTTTTTCCCTGATCCCTGCAGCAGACATATATCTGCACCATGAAGTGACATTAAAGTCTATGCACTGCCCTGCTTCAATACTTTCTTCATCGAAGTGGACCTAGTGGCAGTTAGTCTGAAGATTGAGCAGTCTATCTGCGTCTTGACGATTGTTGCTAGTCCTGTGTACAATGTGTAGGCAGCCAGCATGACATCTTGAGCGTTCACTTGGTTCAATTCGGGACCTATTATTATCGTATACGCGAACACACTCTCTGAACGTGGGTGCTTTCCTATCTGGAAGCGGACACGGCAGATTTTCAACCTCCGCCGATGCATCTTGGCAAAGATTTCCGTGGAAGAACCGGAATAGATCTGCAGAAGATGCCTGGTTTAAGTCACAAATTTCTGGGCATGATATGACTTCCGCGATACCATTGAACGGTGCGTCTGCAGCCAACTGAGCAGCTGCTGGTGTGTATACCTCATGCCCCAGGTTTGTCAATCCGTGGACGGCATCCCACCATAACATGTCTAGCGTGACCAGAAGTTATATGATCTCTTCTTGGCCTTCATTTTGCGCATAGGAGTATGAATCTCATTTGTTGAGTTCTTTCTTGGGAACGGCAATTGAGCCGGAGAACGTGGGGAAGGATGTTTGGAGAAACGGATGTCATGCCTTCTACACGGATAAATCTCATTGTGGCATCGAATCAGACGCAGTAATGAAAAGAATAAGGCAATTCATGAGCTGTGTGTGGGGACGAGTATTCATAACCCCTAGAGATGAAGGAAGATATAAAGTCAGCCTTGATCCTGTCGCCGAAAGAACAGTCCAAACCAGAGCAGCGCCTCAAACACCAAAACTGGAAAATTCTCATTATTCTTTGGTTACATCAAGATGAAGGAAATAAATACCGTCAGCTGTCTGGCAACTCTTCTCTCCCTTACTGCCAGAATAGCTGCTCACGGCCATGTCAGCAATATTGTCATCAATGGTGTCTCCTACCGTGGCTGGGACATCAACTCGGATCCCTACAATTCAGATCCTCCGGTGGTAGTCGCATGGCAGACACCGAACACTGCGAACGGATTCATTACGCCGGACGAATATGGCACGGATGATATCATCTGCCACCTGGATGCCACTAATGCCGAGGGGCATGCAGTCATTGCCGCAGGGGACAAGATCAGTCTTCAATGGACCACCTGGCCTGACAGCCACCACGGACCAGTCATCAGCTATCTTGCAAACTGCGGTTCGAGCTGCGAGACGGTAGACAAGACAACGCTCGAATTCTTCAAGATTGACGGTGTTGGCCTTGTTGATGACTCGAGTGTGCCTGGCACTTGGGGAGATGATCAATTGATCGCAGACAACAATACATGGCTGGTCGAGATTCCTCCGGATATTGCACCCGGATATTATGTTCTTCGCCACGAACTGATTGCCTTGCATGGGGCCAGCAGCGAGAATGGGGCACAGAACTATCCTCAGTGTTTCAACCTCCAGGTGACCGGGTCAGGTACTGCCGAGCCTTCCGGCGTACTCGGTACGGAGTTGTATAGTCCGAGAGACCCCGGAATCCTCATCGATATTTACCAGTCACTGTCCACTTACGAGGTACCTGGACCGACATTGATTCCAGAGGCAGTGTCAGTTGTGCAATCGAGCTCGACCATCACAGCATCCGGGACACCCGTGACGGGGACCGCTGCGTCCGCTACATCGTGAACCGGCTTGATTGAGAAACTGTGGCTGCGGTCGGCATGATATGGACTCACCCTCCGATTGGTCTGTAGCAATGTAGGGGGGAAATGGATCATTGAGTCAATTCGAAATCTGCTCGTTTAGCGGCGTAATTGCTGCTTACACCTTCGCTTCTTGCTTTTCTGGAAGTTTCCTGCCTGTGCATCCACTTCTTCGTGTGGATTAGTCGAATATTAAATTATAACAATCGCTTCGGTTCGTAACAAGAAGAGTACTATTTTCATCTCCATCTATATCATCTAGTAGAACGAGAAGAATATGGGCATCGGCACTAATTCGATGCAGGCTCTGATAGCTCAAGAATGTGGCGTACAACCCACATGTTTGGCCCAACCGCAAGGGGCGGCAGAGAGGAAGGATCCCTCAGCAGTGCGTAAGCAAGGTGCGATGTCAGGCTCCGCACTCCTCAGACACACCAGTTGGAGCTATTCATCAGCATCCATCATGGGGAAGCACTAATCAAAAGGCGGTCTAATCGCCGCCACGGGGGGTGTGTCTCCGCTGTGTTTGAGGTCACCTGGCTGACCGGACGGCTCGAAGAGGGAAAGCCAGTTGGTGTTCAGGTATCCGTGGCCTTCCACGTTTTCCACTGGGGAAATTTTCTCACCAGACGGCGAATTTCCGCATTCTTGTTTCTGAGTCATTCCGACAACCAAGCTTTGTGGGGATCGGAGATACGAGAGTTGCTACTGTAATCGTATCCAAGAAAGATGCATAGTAACAATGTTCCTGTTTCCAATTTCCACCAACATCGATGTACCTAACCTCTCTTGCTGTGATATAACCCTACCGCCTGGAGTAAACCCGTGGACCAACAGTGAAAAGACTGGGGTTGACGCCATCTCCACGGATGCGGGCGAGCTGACCCTGGATTACCCCGGAACACCTCCGCTTAATTAAGAACTAATCCTAGTCGATCGTAAAAGCCGAGTGTCCGGGGGAAGCTAACCCCATGCATTCAAAGCCCCATCCCCACCCCCAGTTACATCCGAGCTGATGGCTTAAGCGAGCGCCCGTAGCCTTTCTTTGCCACCCAACGGTTCTGACAGGAGCACAGGAGGCAACTCATTATTATTTGCTGGTGATTATGCTCTTATTTCTGCGCGTGGCGTTTTTTGTTTGTGGGGAGCATAAGATCCCCACGTTTCTCTCCACAGCAGCAGCCTTCTCCTATCTTCCCCCAATCGTGACTACCCCAGAGATGATACGTACATCCCTCCACTCTTCCATCATGGATCAGCCTAGAATCACCCTTGGTAGTTGATTAGCGCTGTACTTCGATGTGGTCCTAGCTCTGGGAATTGCGAGGGAGGCCAGACGAGCAATGCCTGACCCATATAAACCTTTGCCTCTCTTATCTGGGTTTCTCTTTTTTTTTCTTGTCAGGTCGCTAGGTCACTTCTTCTTCCTCACCCCTTTTTGGCTCCCAGACGCCAGAAAAACTTCCTCTTTGACTGGCCGTCTTGCCTCACTCTCCCTTTCACCAACTCATTCTATCAGACTTCTATCTGTTGTGTGGCTTGCTGGCAGCCATCATGTCTCATATTGAAACGACCGAGGACGTTCGGTCGACTCCCTCGCCCAAGACCCATGAGGAGACCCACATCGAGAAGAACAGCAGCGAATACTTTGAAAAGATTGAAGAAGGACCTACTTCATATGCTGAGATTGCTGCGGCATCTCTTTCGCCCTCTCATCGAGAATACCTCCTTCAGCGTCATGGAACCTTGGACCTCGATCCTATCCCGAGTCCGTCGGGCGCAGACCCGTACAACTGGCCTACCTGGAAGGTATGAGCACGGTTTTCACAACTGCATTTTCAATTACTGACTGTATGTCATTGAATTTAGAAATTGATTAACCTCATCCTCGTCGCCTTCCATGCCTGCATGGGAACATTCACCGCCTCGATTATTCCAGCCTATGAAAGTATCGCGGAGGATCTTGGGGTTTCTATGCAAAGAGCCAGTTATCTTACTTCGCTTCAGATTGCGATTCTAGGAGGTGCACCTCTGTTCTGGAAGCCCTTGGCGAATCGCTTCGGACGCCGCCCCATCTTCCTTCTATCTACCATCTGCAGCTTGGTATGCAACATTGGTTGTGCGAAGAGTCCAACCTACGCTTCTATGGCCGCCTGTCGAGCCTTGACGGCCTTCTTCATCTCGCCGGCAGCGGCTATTGGAAGTGCTGTTGTTACCGAAACCTTCTTTAAGAAAGACAGAGGCCGTTATCTGGGTGTCTGGACATTGATGGTCACCTTGGGTGTTCCAGTTGGTCAGTTGCCCTACATTATTAACGTTGCGTCCCGCTGACTGTATTTTAGGTCCCTTGATCTACGGTTTCATCACATACCGCGTAGGATACCGTTGGATCTTCTGGGTGCTGGCCATCACCAACGGTGTTCAGTTCATCCTGTATATATTCTTTGGTCCTGAGACCCGCTACATCGGCGGTAGTACCGAGGGCATGTCCGACTTCAAGGCTCAATACCTATCCTTCCGCCGCATTGACCCAACACCACTCACACTCCGCGAATTCTTCCACCCATTGACGATGGCCGCACGTCCTAGCGTCATGATTCCCGCTTGCGCTTATGCTATGGTATTCTTGTTCGGCAGTGTCATGATCACGGTCGAGGTGCCCCAACTTCTACAAACCAAGTTCGGCCTTAATGCGGAGCAGCTGGGTCTTCAGTTCATTGGAGTTATTATCGGCACAGTCCTAGGCGAGCAGATTGGAGGTTCCATGTCCGACTTTTGGATGCGCCGACGTGAGCGCAAAATACAGCACAAGCCGGATCCCGAGTACCGCCTTTGGCTCAGCTATCCCGGAGTGATCCTGACTATTGTCGGTGCCATTGTATTCCTGGTCTGCACTGAACGGGCTGCTCCGAACCACTGGGTTGTGTCGCCAATCATCGGCACAGCCATTGCTGCCTTTGGCAACCAGCTTGTGACGACCGTTCTGGTCACTTATGCGGTGGACTGCTATCCGGAAGATTCCGGTAGTGTTGGCGTTTTCATCACGTTTGTTCGCCAGGTATGGGGGTTCATTGGTCCGTTCTGGTAGGTCACCCATCGTCTTAAACTAGAGTGAGAGCATAGACTAATATGGCATATAGGTTCCCCGACATGTTCGACAACGTTGGTGTTGCGGCCAGCTCAGGTGTCTCAAGTGCGTTGATGTTTGCTGTCAGCTTCTTGCCAGTCATTGCCGTCCATATGTTTGGAAGGAAGTGGCACAAACATAACTAGCTAAATGTATTTTACGACGGATGTATTTCTTATGACTTGACCTGAATTCATTTTATCACCATTTTTACAACTCAGCAGTATGATAGTAGTAGTTTATTGTTCTGTACAGCTTCAGTTAAGATAGAAAAAATCGACACGTTAAATATATACAAAGAATTCTACTGCATATAGACTTATCACTATATGTATAATCATAAACACACTCTCTATAGTATCCAGAATCAGAACCTCTCGACCCCAAATACCAGTCCAAGCCTTAACTCACAAACGTCAAAACAGATACTACCATATACGCAAACATGAATAACCACCACCACGCACCCTACCTATCCATACACCCACCTTCCAGACTACGAATACAATAAACCATAACACAACCCAAGACAATATATTAAGCCAAGGAACTAAAACAAAGAACCCAAGTATAACTTACCTACCGCACAACCAACCCCACAACCAAAACAATAAACACCATCAACCAATCACCATCCTCCAGCCAGGAGACAGAATCATCTCAAACCAGTCTAGATCTCCACATACCAGAATACTATTAGTATATTACCTCCCTCATCCCTCCTCCCCTCCACCCACAAACCCACACCACCGTGGCGTGCCCTCACAACTTACGCCAGAGAGTCAATAGTTGACGCCACGCGAGGAAACGTGGCGCTGTGGGGAGCCAGTTGAATTATGTGTTTGTTTCCCACAGGAGGGGCGTGTTAGTATCTCGGTCTTGCTGATGGGGTCTTGTGGGGGTTGAGGGATAGAGGGTCTTCGTGCTGTTGAGCGGTGGGATGGTAGTGGGGGGGTATGTGGTGTATGTGTGTCTTGTTCGTGTCTCCACTGGGTGTCGGTGTGGTGGCTGTTGGAGATTGCTGTGGATTGTTGGGTAGGTGTGATGTTTTGTGGAGGGGATCGTGGATTTGTGATGGATGTGCTGTGGACCTATACATGCTTTGGGGTGAGCTGCTTGTCGGGAAATGAGGAGTGGGTTCACTGAGTTGGTTACTGAGTAGAAGATAGGGTACGTTATCGCTATAGATTACTAAATTACCCTAGGTGCATGGTTGTATTTATGATAGTACTCAAAGTGATGGTGATGGTATATCTATTGCAATATCACCCAATCCATCTACCATAACTGGTATGAGGGTGTCAATGATTCTATCCCATTCCACACCTCATATCCCACACTCAGTTGGGACACCATGTCAGGCCAAGCACATCCAACAGCACCGATTTGTAAGGCTGAATGCCAACAGTACTAGTTGCGTCAACTCCACGCATCTGCCAGCCCAACAGCGTAACAGAACCGAGGATCATCCCCAGACCACATCAGCAATGATCATCCTCCGCACTCTCCACACCCCACGAATCTCTCCACACTCGTATCTAGGAGTCACCGAGGTCATATTCTCAATCCCCGTGAGTTTTTGAATTCAGGCCAAGAAGTCACCGTGAAACAACTCAACAATGACCTACCTCAAACCTCCCGCAACGACCGTTGTAACCCTGAAACAAACTCCCCCGCATTTCTTCCCCATGTTGATCCTCCGGTTCACAAAAGCATATTGTTAAAAGTTACTCCGGCCCAGGGTTCCCGTCTTTGTTCCTTAAAATAATACGAGCAGGGATAAATTATCTCAAACTTACTTTCATCCATCATAGCTACCAAGTTGAAAGTCACTACTATGATGTCTATATTGCATGTGCAAGGATCCTTATCTCCGAGAGTGGAGTCGGGGATAACGCGGACGAACCCGACCAGAACGGTTAAGCGCGAAAAGCTACTCCCCAGCAGGCAGCAGAGATGCAACCCACGCAAGAGCTATGACGATCATGGTGTGTTAGGAGAGCAGAGTTGAAGCTTATAGAACAGCTGGAAGATGTTTCTCCTTGATCTTCTCCAGACGATACTCCTCTTCAAGGTTCCATTGCTGAGCCAATTTGCGCCACCCAGTCGGGCCCCCACCTCTGGCGGCGCTTTCGAATGCTCGGCCGACGCTATCCAGTCATTGCTGCCGGAGGGGTCGAAGGTCCTTTATGCTTCCCATTATGATGCCAATGATAGCTTCACCCCTCCGCTTGAGCACAATTCTGGCGCCTTTAGGATCTCGTCGTATGTGCTGCCCAGGAGCGCTTGTGTCTTTCAGGCGAATTTGACCCTACCCGGGGAGACGGAGCATAGTGTGGGGGTGGTGTTGCCGGATGATTGGAATGGGAGGTTCTTGTATGTATTTGTTGGATTGTTTGGTAGGTGCATTATATGCTAAGGTGTGTACAGGACTGCGGGAAATGGGGGTTTCTCGGGAAGTGTTAGTTGGGGATCTATTGTATGTTCAATACCCATCATCTATGCAGATTGGAACATGGAGTCGCTCACATAACGATGTCATGGATAGATTGACGCCTCTTGGTATGGATTCGCGGCTGTATCCACAAATACAGGCCACGAGAGCTCCGGTGCCGAGTGGGCTTACCATAACCAAGAAGCTCTCGCCAACTGGGGCTACAGGGCCATGCACGATGCAGTTGTCAATGGCAAGTCTGTGACGGAGCAGTACTATGGAAAGAAGATTGCCTACAGTTACTACCGCGGCTGCTCCGCGGGTGGAAAGCAGGGTCTCAAGGAAGTGGAGATGTTCCCTGATGATTTCGACGGAGTGATTGCTGGAGCTCCCGCCTGGTGGACGACTCATCTGCAACTGTGGAACATGATTGTTGGTATTTGGAACTCACCAGAAGAGTCATTGCATCATCTGTCGAACGAACATATTGATCTTTTGGCCCACGAGGTCATTCGCCAATGTGATCCCCAGGACGGGGTGGAGGACAATATCGTCATGAATCCGGATGCATGTATCTTCCATCCGGAAGCTCTTCTGTGTGCGGATGACGCTGAAGATCCCTCCGCTTGCCTGAACACAGAGCAGATCAAGACGGTCTACAAGCTCCACAACGACTGGGTGGAAGCAAACCACACATTCGTTTTCCCACATCTCACTTTGAGCAGCGAGTGGAAGTGGAGCGGCTTGGTTTCTTCTCCATCGAGACTGGGTACTGACTACGTCAAATGGATGCTCCAGCTGGGCGATGATTGGAGATGGGAGGATTGGGACCCCGAACTGATCGAGTTATCAGATGGGCTGAACCCTGGAAACGCCACGACCGATGACTACGACCTCTCCCCTTTCTATAACAAGGGAGGCAAGCTTCTCCACTATCATGGCTGGTCAGACTGGTCTATCGCTGCGGGATCGAGCATCTATTTCTATGACCAGGTCGTCAATGCTTTACGGCCGAAGGGGATAAACCCGGATGATTTCTATCGCTTCTATCTGATTCCCGGAATGGGGTGAGTCTATCGTTGTACTTCGAGCCATACTGCCAGTTACTGACGTTCCCAGTCACTGCGGAGGCACATCTGATTTGATGAACGCTCCTTGGGTCATTGCAGGAGATGGCCAGTCTTCAAGCCTTGGGAGGGATGGAAATGTCCACAGCGTACCTGGACACGAGGACGCAAAACACGATGTAGTCCTTGCCATGATGAACTGGGTGGAAAATGGAACCAGTCCAGATGAGTTGATTGCGACAAAGTTCGTGAATGACAAGGATCCGGAAGAGGGTGTATATCGTCAGCGCCCATTGTGTGTGTATCCTGCCGAGGCTCAATACAAAGGCTCGGGGGATATTAACGCTGCGGAAAATTGGGAGTGCAGAGAGCTATAATGGCACTGATACTGGGGACAACTTAGTGTAGATGATGTTTTCGCTCAACGGAAGACATGTATGTATATAAACGCCAAATAAATTGTTGAAATGATCCGACCTTAAATTTGAGAAGCTTTTTAGAAAATGGGCCAGCTCGTTGGTGGAGAAACTGATCAACAGCGGCCCCTCCGTTTATCGGTTATCGGACTTTCTGTTATACTGCGAGCCCCTCCGCCCGCCAGAGTCTCCGCACTCACCAACTCACTTTCTTCATCTTTCTTTCACCTTCCCATAGACACTTTTTTCTTTGCTAGACAAGTGCGCCATCAGTATACACCACAATGTCCAACACCGTTGCAGCTGCCGAGGAAGAAGGCGTGTACACGCCTTACGACCAATTCTTCCTCTTCGGCGACTCCATTACCGAGTATTCCAATGCCCAGGACATGGGATTCGGATTTTCCCCAGCGTTGCAGAATGGTAGACAATCAATGCCCAATACTCTCTTTAAGCAGGCATATACTGATACCTTGTAGCCTACGCCCGCCGCCTGGACGTGGTGAACCGTGGATTAGCGTGCGTTCCCCGATAATAAGATGAAGCAACAAACAAATAACAACCACCACTGACTCTTCCACAGAGGATACAACACCCTCCATGCTCTCAAAGCCTTCCCCAAGTGCTTCCCTTCACCAGAGCGCGCCAACGTCCGACTCATGGTACTAATCGCCTAGCATACGCCCTCCCCATAATCCTCATAACTAACAAACATCACCAGACCATCTGGCTCGGCGCCAACGACGCCAGTCTTCCCGGTTTCGAGCAGCACGTCCCCATTGAGACTTACAAGCAAAACCTCAGAGACATCATCCAGCACCCCCTCACAAAGGCCCAGAACCCCCGCATCATGATCATCACTCCTCCCCCCATCAACGAGTACCAATTGGCCGGGTTCGACGCTATGAAGGGGAACCCCCATCCGACTCGGACCAACGCGCACACCAGGACGTACGGTCAGGCTGCGCGCGAAGTTGCTGCAGAGTTTGGTCTACCCGTTGCGGATGTCTGGAGCGCGTTCATGTCGTCTGTTGGGTGGAAGGAGGGTCAGCCGCTGGTTGGGTCGAGGGATTTGCCTGAGAATGCCAAATTTGCTAGTCTGTTTACGGATGGCTTGCATTTGGCTGCGAATGGGTATCGCATTGTGTTTGAGGAGGTTATGAAGACTATTCAGGAGAGCTGGCCCGATCAGGTGCCGGAGAACCTTCCTTATGTGTTCCCTCCTTGGGCGTTGGCGCCGAAATAGGGGCTCGGCTTGGATCATTGGAGATGCTGGTGCTAGTGCTACTAGTAGGAGTACCGTCTCATCTGCTGTGTGGTATACTGCTTCGAATGGTGGTCAATATATAGAGAACTGATCATCTAGAATAAATACTAAGAGAACCG